TCCTTTTCAGAAAATAAAGAAGTAGTGTGCGACTAGCTCTTGCATTCAACATAGTACATTTCACTTCTCATTTAACTCCAACTATTCAAGGGGGAAAATATCTGTTTGAATAGAATATTTACTCTGCAAACAAGAAATCTCCCCTAGATATGAAATCATTTGAAAACTATAAGAATTGTACATCAAAGAAAAGAGAATGAAAAGGAAACGGGAGAATTTGATTGATTGACTGTATGAGATCACATTACAAAACACATCAGAAACCGATACCCTGCCTGATAGTCTAACCACAATCAGAAATGTATCTTTTTACCTCTTATTATGAATATATATGAGATCTTGCATTATTAATGACACTCTTGATATGTTTGCTCCTGAATTCTGGCCACTATTCATAAGTTAAATAAACATATACAAAAATGGTGTTATTTGAGCCTTTTTGTCATGTACGAGGAATGTTTATTGCAATTTCAGCTTAAATTGCCTGCATTTTAAGTAGGTGAAGCAGGTATGTTTTCTGCTGTTGTGAAGAGCCAACAGCAAGGGAAATACACCCCTTCCCCCTCTCCAGATTACTCCTTAAGCCCTTGCTCCCAGGGACCGTGATGACATTAATGTTTGAAAACGAGGAGAGGTTTGAGTCATGTGACATTCCCCTCTTCAACTCTGCATCACCTCTTGACTCTCTCTCTCTCTCTCTCCCTCTCTCTCTCTTTCTCTCTCTCCCTCTCTCTCTCTCTCTCTCTCCCTCCCTCTCTCTGTCTTGATATGATAAAGGACATGTTCGTAACATATGTTAGACCTGGGACCCCAGGGCTGCTCAGAAGCATGCTGTTGAACATGAATTCATTTTAAATGTTGACTAGGAGAGGTAGCTTTGTAAGGCACCATGGAGGCAGATTTAGTAAGCGCAGTGGATGGAACTGCAAGATATTTTCTCAACTTAATAAGTTAATTAACATTGACATTTTTTGAATGAAGTGCTTATCATACTTATTTTATTACTTCAGGGTAGAAATAGATAGAAAACTTCACTTTTACACATAACTTTATTTCAATTCAGTTGTAGGTTTCACTTTGCAAAGTCAAGAAATTCATAAACATGTACAGTGTAGAGCATTAGCAAAAACTGACAAATTGCCACAATCTACTTCTACCTTAATCATAAAAGCATAACAACCTCTGTCAAAATTTGCCTCATAAAACATCAACAGGAACAGTGAACAAGTTCAAAATTCAGCTAATTGCATAATAATGGTCACGCTCCTGTAATTAATTTCCTCTATTATGTGATTTTGCTCACAAACACAAAGTACTTTCCAATGGGGGTTGAATCGAATCATAACATATTTTGGAATAATATGTCTATTCCGCCAAACTCTCTTCCTGCTATTTTTGCCAATAAAATGAAGTCCTGTTTTACACCCACGGAGGCAGGAAAAAACCATTACGGGAAGGACATGGCCCTCAGATTGTTTTAGCGATGATATAATCTGGGGTGCAGTAGTCCAGGGCCATGGAAAAAAGAGAACAAAGTATGCTTGTAAGTTGTTATTTGAAGGAGCATGAATGTTAGGGGGCATTAACATAACCTCATTTAGAATTTGGCTCGGTGAAAGGAAAATCATTGAGCATATTCTATTCTTGTGTAGATAAATTTAGCAATTTTCTCATGTTTTTGAACACCTTGAAAATATGCAAATATATATGTTCATAGCTATTAGGTCATATTAACATAAATCAGTTAAAAATGTCCACCCCCCCAAAAAAAAAAGAGACACACATCTGCTTTAATTTGTGGTGACACAAAATCTATGCATGTTATTGAACAAAGGTTGAAAGAAAAGGAAAATTAAGGACTTGTTACATAATTTGTCTCCTAGACAATGTTCTACTTAATCTTCAAGCATAATTAATTGAGTGCAATTGAGTTATCAATTAAAATGATGTAACTCTAAATCAATGCTGCTAGACTATATAGTGCACCCATCATATTGACGCCAAAGGAATAATTCTCTACCCCTCCCCCCCCCCCCACGTCTTTACATGCCATTACCTATATATGTATGATATGAGAGGTCTGGAGGGGGATTGAATTTGGTGGGATCGATGCTCGTTACAACCCATACCTGGTACAATTTACAACCCATACCTGGTACAATTTACCACCCTGACTAGATGCATTGATTTTGTTTGAATCAATTTTTTTTAAAGATGTCTAATTAGTTCCACATTTATTGATTACATGTGTCCTTTCCCTGAGATATGATTGCATGGTTGTGAAGAAGTTCTCACTCTAGTTGTGCCTTTAAAAGCATTGGCTATCGCCATGTGAATAGATGTTATCGCTTATGAAGCGTAAGAACAATCAGACACAATTTCCTTTTTTAATTGCTCATGGAATCAAATAGATTTGCCATATTGGCGCTGACTCCTCGGTTTTGTTCTAGAATTAGAATCAGTCCAAAGGAGTGCTTCATCACAACTGACCCTTCTGAAAAACACAAATAAATAAATTCTGGAGCCAGGAAATACAATTCGTTGATATTTAACTAAATCTGTGGTGAGCTCATCCTCGCATAGAGCGAGGGCTTACGTGAATCCAGTGGTCTGGGTAGAGAGGGTTAATCCGCTCCGAGTTCAACAACCATTGCCTGGCAATTGTTTTCCATTCCCAGTAAATTCCTATGGTTATTCTTATTAGTTTATGATTTGGACAGATTACCGCGTGAGGAGCGGAGAGAGAATATTGACTTCTTACGTCAAAGAATCCTATCCCCTCTCCCTTGCAAAGTGCACATCCATTTGGATTGATTTATGAACAATTTCACATTTCCTATCTTTCCACTGAGAAATGGCCTTGCCCCAATCTATTTGCTTTTACAAGCCAGTATCCTGTCATATTCCTATTCATTTCGCTGAGCTGGAAATGCTGTAATAAGATGAGATAGAAAACCATTCCATATCAATTATTTTGGGTTGCTGTATTATTGCGAGGTAACTTTGAATCGCTATGCTATGTAGGTCAACGTAATGCATACTGACAGTGTGTGCTTTGATCCGTCAACGAACATATGTTGTAGAGATTCGATCCATGCCGTTTTGATAAATGGATTTAATGAAAATTTATGAATGTTTTAGTCATGTTAACAAAAATTGCAGAGTGAGAGGTTTTATGATATAAAGGATACAGCCTGTGAGAGTTTTATTACTCAGAATATTGATTCCTGGAGTTCTTGTAAGAAAACACAGCCAAACTTGCTCTAGCAACCAGCTGTATAGAAAGACTGTTTTCTGTTTTCTAAAGACCGCAATGTTCATTTCCCTAGGAATGTTTTCTCATTGAAACATAGTACTATAGGAACCTCTACATAAAAACCATCTGCCTATAAAGACCACTTTTCTTTTCTCCCTTGAGTGGCCTTTTAATACAGGTTTCACTGTACTTAAAATGAAGCGTTTGATATTTTAAAAGTTTTTCTATCGATATAGAGAAAACAGAATTGAGATGTTGGTGAGATAAAGAAAGGATATGCTTTTTCATTTTAGACTGATCCTGTTCTTCTACTCCAAACTAATTTTTACATGATGCACAGTCACTCTTTAATGCAATTAAAGTTAATGAAACCACGTACCATATCTAGGTTATTGAATCTTTATTAGATTTGGAATCGAATTCATGACACAAAAGCTGTTTATCCGTTTATTGGTTGTAACTAAAAATAGTTTAGCCTCTATTCTATGGCGTGTTCATATTCCTTCCAAGGTAGGCCTATATTATAGTAATATGAAGAAAGTATTTCATATACAGTAGCTCTGTCATTAAATATTTGATGTTTATTGAAAACCGAATATATATATATATATATATATATATATATATATATATATATATATATATATATATATATATATATATCGGTATATATGCAATAGACTTTAAATCCCAAACAATAGGATTTGAATTTTCAAACATTTTTTTTCTGTGGCAGATGTAGGGCTTAATTACTTTTTATTACCATGATGTTATACATTCACTAAAGGAGAGAGATAGGGCTTGTATAAACTTACTCTTTATTAATAGTAATATGAATTGTAATAGTAAAATATTTCATTCATTCATTCATTCATTATTTTAGATTAATTTGTTATGATGTTCCCTATGCTATAGCAGTGGCTTTCACCTCAGCTCTGTTACTACACCACAATAAAGCTGTCTTCATCGAAAACGAAAGCTCCCCCAATATTGCTGCGTAATGAGGTTATTATTACGGGTTGCTTTGTTCGTCTGTCCGAGGCCTGAACTTGGGTGTTCTAATGAGGTTTTGATGAAAGATTATGATCAATCAGGGATGTGGAAAATGCAATTTTTTCACAAACAAGATTAGTGTGCATGGTAATTGAAACCACATTGCTGATAGACATTGCGATGTGCTCTATCTCTATTCAATAACAATCAAGTACTTTGCCAACAAAATAATGCTTCTTTTATAGAAAAAAGATGGTATTCCCAGAATTCCTTGTTCATTCATGTTTTTTATTGTCAGAGAACAAGAACGTAAAAATTTGTGGTTGTGCTTGTAGGTCACATAGATTAAACATCCAGAAAGTTCTCTACAATCTTGAAGAAGACGATGCTCTTGATGCATGCCAGAGTATCTGCAACAAATTTGATTCAACTACACATTATGTATTCATTCATTTATTCGTTTTATTTTATTTCAACAGGGATTACTTGCTTCAGCCAACGACTGTTCTTCTCCTAGTTCGTGCATACATTGATAAAATTCATTCATGCACTTTTTCCAAATGAAATGATTGATTCGATTTAATGTTTTATGAAGGAGCTGCATCATTGAAATTATACAAGACCTTGATTTTTAATCAAAAATTTGTATTGATATTGTAATTAGATAAGAAAATTTTACCATCAAACTTTTACTCGATCCCACCGCTGCCACCAGAATATTTAATCAATCCAATCATTTCAATCTTTGCAGGCCCAACTTGGCAACACATGGAAGACCCCGGACATCGGTCACCTGGCCCTTCACTACCTATGCCCCGCCCTGATGAGGATCCTACAAGATGGACTCCGTCCCCATAGCACCAGCCTCTTGGTGGGCCGAATCAAGAACACCACGTGGACCATCGTTGAGGCTACTACACAACTTGGTATGAAAACATTATCTATCCGTATCCTCCCTCCCCTTCATGTACTGTTAACAACAAGTGTATTCATTAGTATTTTTATACAAAAAATGATTTGGCCCTGTTTATGTTTCCTGAGAATGCGACATATTAAAGCTTACATCTAAAAGTATTCAACAAAAGCCCTAGGCTAACTAGTCCACCCTTAATTCTCGAGTAATGGAAAGAAAAAAAGCATCAAATTTATGAGAGGTATGAATCATTTAGTTGTTAACTGTATATTTCACCCATATGGTTACCTCTCTGGAATAGCATGCATGTGTTAATGTACAAATAATCACTTGACAACAGAACAAAATAGAACAAAACTGATATATATTCATTTAATTTGTTTAAGACAGAAATATAAAAAATAAGCAGCTATGAAATGTTTAGTGGTATGAGAGCTGGATATCATTTAATTTTTAGAAAATATGTTTTCTTTCTTTCTTCTTTCACTAAAGAAGTAAATATCAGCCTCTAAGTTCAAAGATTTTGTATCATACATCTAGCACTTGTTTGTAGGTGTTGAATGATAAGCAGACTTGTGCATCAAAAGAAATCTTATCAAGATATCTTTTACTTGATAGTGTTTCCCTATTTAGAGCCTGATGGTGTTAGAAAATACCAAAGGTATTGAAAAAGAGCCTTTATGTCTTGACTTTCCACCAAGTCATCATGTTGCCAAATGATACAATTGGGAAATGAGTAAGGGCAACTTGGCTGATTTATCAGATAGCTAACGATGATGAAAGCATGCAAACACGGGCTGAACTATGAAAAATCGTCTCTCGTCATATGACAATTACAAAATCGCAAGTAAACATATTTTTAAAAGGTCGCTGTTGGCTAAGAATAGAAACGATGATATCATGTTATCGTTACGCAGGAATAAACTAATTATGGCTTGGAGCTCTGTGATTATTACGTTGCAGAACAAAAGTAACGAAAAGGCAAATCCACTGTGCATTTTTGTATTTCCTCATTTCTAATTTAAAGTTGCGGTAGTTGGCAGTATCAAGTGATATGTCATTTATAGGGACCTGTCTACGTGGTAGATTAATGCTTTCTCTCTTTCTTCTACTGTGGATCATGAGTGAAGCATGTTATTAAATAAATGCTTCATGAGTTCAAATTTCAGTAGCTGATTATTTTTTAAGGAATAAAGAAAAAGAATTTGGTCAAATATCAGTTGTCACGAATTGTGAGTCAACCCAACTGTAACTTTAACTGTAAGGTTTTCTAAAAAATCCAAGGCTTAGAAGAGTTTCTTAAAGGGCAAATGATATGCAAATGTTTGGTGATGTCACTGTTCATAAATACATGTACATGTCTGTTTGTATTGGTTTGCCCTTTTTTACAGGATTTAGAAAAATGTTTATGAGCAGTTGAAGTATAATATTTAATCCTCATATATTAATCAGCTGTAAGATTATGAAACAGATGAAATAAAGACAATAATTGTCAAGACATATATACCGTGGGTTTGCACAAGTTATGTGAAAACTAATAGAGCACAGTTTATTAAATCTTCATGCATTCCTCAATGGTAAACATGAGTGTATATATTTCCCAGTTTTCCTTTGTGTCCTCTCTCTCTCTCTCTCTCTCTCTCTCTCTCTCTCCATTCAACTTTCTCCCTTCTCACTTTTGCCCCCACCAAGGACAAGGAGATGACTAGATTCTTCTAAAAATACAAGAAAAGCAAATGAGAAGGATACCAATCATCAGTGGCTTGACTTTGAGCCCAAAGATATCTCAAGGCTTAACCTAGTCCTCCAATGAGTGATAATCAATGAGAAAGTCAATTCATGAAGCACTTTATACCAAAACCTTAAACAAATTTTGTAAACAATCATTGCCGGCACTGCCAGTTGATTTATTGGTGCTTTAATAATGATAATGAATATAAACACAGCCCTTCACTTATATGCAGTTTCAAATTTTAAAGAACCTCTTTTTAATTTCTTCATACAAAAAAGCATGCTTTTATGGAATATTTTTGATTGATTCTCTTTGATATCTTCTTTTCCTTGGAGCAGTATGAACAAAACAAAACAAAATTGTCAGCTCTACATAAAATGATAAAAAAAAATTCTAGACATTGTTTATAGTAATGGTTGCACACAGCAAGGATGAAAAGAGAGAACCTTTTGTGACAATTCTTTCAATATCACCTTTATTGTGCTAAAAAAAATTTTTTTAAAAATAAACACAAAATAAGGACAACATAAATGATACAGTGAAGGACACATTAGTACACAATGTATAACATTGAAACATAAAATACACAATAAAAGTGTTTTTGGACAAATTAGAACATTGTAACTGTTTACAAAAAAAAATAATATTTCAAACTGGTAAAACAAAAAAGCTTGATAATCACAAGGCACTACAAAACAGTGGTTTGTGGTAACAATTGGGAATACTGAGAGAAAAGGAAGTAAACACTACTATCTCAAGATCCTTGTAAATGTATTGACTGGAAAGCTGAGAGGAGTAGGCTGAGAGGAGTTAGCTAAGTTGTTTTGTCTGTTTCCAGAGATATGGAGTGCCTCTCAGCATCTAATCTTGTTTATAAGCTTCCCATGGAAATACCATTCAAGGGTTTTATTCTCCTTAAAGATTGAAATGCAGAGGCCAAGCAGTGAAACACAATGGAGGCAGGTCAGTGCCCGGAGTAGATTGGAAAATGAAAAGGGTAAAATGTTGAAGGAATACAATCGAGGATATGGATTTCTAAGAAGATGGTACTGACTGAGGATGGAGTCTCGTGTCTAGGACTGCTGTTAAGATTAATGAATATTTTACTGAATAGAAGAAGAAGGAGGACCATGAATCTAGTTTCCATTGGCATAAATATGTCATTCTAATCACCATTGTACATGACTTTCATTCTTCCCCTGCAATTATTCTCTTTCTCTCCTCATGCTCCCATGCAACCTTATATCCTAGAGTTCATGTTTTTTGCCATTTTTTCTTCTTCTTCTTCTGTAGTTGTGAATGCCTGACTTTAAAGCATGTAGCGCATGCCAGGTAATTCGCTTCATCCATTATGTATGTATCTATGGTCAACCAGTCTGTCTCCTAGCTGAGAGCTTACGTCTCAACCCAAACCATTCTCTGGAGAGCCGGAGAGCCGGAGAAAGAGGCTCGCTCTCATCAAGATGCCGTCTCCAACACACTCTCTCTCTCTCTCTCTACCTCTACCTCTTTTTGTTTTTGTTGCTTTCCCCGTTCCCACGTCCCTCTCAAGTGGTTGTATTTTGATCCATTGGCTCGGACATCACAGACAGGATGGCGACGTCCCTGTCCAAATAGCCTCTAGATTCGACCGCCGCCGCCCTGTCTCGTAACCTGTAACACTAGCTTGACATCAACTCTTTTCTCGGTGTGACAAGATGAAAGAGGGGAAAAAAAGCCCGATGCTTTCTACCCTTGCGTCTCCGCAATCCTGTCCCAGATTCAAACGTTTTTTTATTTTTTATGGGGGAGTTTGGAGGGAGGTATGGATTAATCGTTTTAGATTTCATCTTGACCGTGTTTGCAGCTGGACGCGCGCGTGTTTGTCTGGCGACATAGCTTGGGCCATCAGATCTCTCCGCCGTTTTTAATTGTCTTAAGGGCTGGTGTGAATTCAAGGAGACTCCAATGTAAATTGTCCCTTTTCAAACCATTGAGTATCTCTTTTGCTCTGTACTTTAGGGATGAAACGTAGATGAAATCGTTCAAGGTTTGCTGCTGTTCAAATTGCTTTCCTTAAAGCCCCCCTGCACTACTTATAGCTACTTGCGCCCTCTATATAGCAAACAATGCTTAAGCGGCAACTATTTGTCCCCCATGATCACCTTTTTCTTATGTTAATTAAGAGCTGATTCGATGAGACAACCACCTTGTCAGTGACCTTGCAGGAAGGTCTAATCCCTCCTGGACAAACCAGTGCAAAGGGGCTTTAAAAGAGATACTTCTAAATCACAGGTGAAATGAAATCAGATGAAACTGCAATAAAACTGCAATATAGTAAAAAGTGATTAAAACAAGACATCACAACCTTGTCATCAACTGTCCTTGCAAATTTTCAGTATCTAGTCCATGCAATGGATGCCATGGTTGATACAGCTTAAGTACACTAAACCCAAAGACACAGATATGCCGCTTATTTGGATGACAGTGATCTCGTGCGTGAAGTATGGGTACTTATTGAAATTAGATTTCGCTACAACTAATTTGCTTAGATTAATGAAAAGGTCCTTGAAAGTGAGTTTGATCTATGATGAAGAGCAAAGCATCTGATGTCACTGGCCGATCCATGACAAAAAGCGATCTTTTTAAAATGAGAAACTCGCATCCAGAACAAAATTACCACAGATATATTATTCATTAGAAATGAAATGAAACATAATTGTTTGTTTTTCATGTCTGTTTACTACACTTTTTGTTCTCTTCATACATTTCTAATGAATGAAATGCAAAAGTGATATGGAGTTTTTTGTCAATTCGTCCCTGTTTTCACGAAGTGACGGTAGTGAATAAAAATTGCATACAATGTGAATGCGGATTTTCCTCACTACCGTCACTTCGTGAAAACAGGAACGAATGGATTAATTTTTTGTTGGTCTAAATGGCCGCTTAAGTTCTACCTCTGTGTAAATCACCTGGACATTAATAATTGCAAAGCAATATTATCAATAATTGTTGATAAAAAGGCAGAATCAAGCTGGTTACAAGTATATCTTCAGCAAGGGAGATGAGGACACACTCGTCATGGCAAAGCGATCATTTAATTACGAGAAGAAAGCATGTCGTAATTGAAGGCAAATTGAAGATGCAGATGATATAAGTGAAGATTGTAATGAGCATACCTGTAATATCACACCTGCATATGCGATTCATCTCAACATCCATCCCTGCTCTCTCTAATCACGGTTATTTTTAGCACCGTATGACATTTAGACTGTTACACCATGCGCAGCAGTCAACTACAAGCATGTTGATAAACACATGTTTCTTCGGTAAGGGTGCATCATATATTACTTGAGCAATATAACCCAATGCTGTTATTGCTTTGTGCGCAGTGACCCCGATCACCTGAAAATCCTTCAAATGGCAATCGCGGCGGTCGGGGGAACCTGTTTAAGCGAACGAAGCAAGTATATATTTAGCACATGTCATTCGCTGATATTGCATGCAAACAAGAAGGTAAGATGAAAAATGATGGTTGAGTACGGTGGTGATGGATAGAGTTTGATCATAAAGGAGCTCACATTCCATATGTTCTAAGCAGGGCAGACCAGTTTGTAGGGTTTGCCTTTGGACGACGAGGCATTCGTTTAATATTAAATTAGTAATAGCATATTGACAGATGTTGCATCCCAATCATATTTTTTCTTACTCATTTTCTATTCCCCCATTCAGTCTATTTTTTTTATCACTCTCTCTTTCACTTCTCATCCTTACCATTCAATTTAAACAAATTTTATTCTTACCTTGCTCTCTCTCTCTCTCTTTCTCTCTCTCTCTCTCTCTATCTCTCTTTGTCTCTCTCTCTTCTCTCTTCTCTCTTCTCCCTTCTCTCTTCTCTCTTCTCTCTTCTCTCATATGTGTCTTCCTGTATTGTCCCTTTCCACTATCCCCATGTCATTCTGTATAACTTTTCTGAATTTGTACATGACTTATATCGCTCTTTTCCTTTTTTGCTCTTCTTCCCCCATTATTCCAGTTTTTCCCTGTTTTTCCTCTCTCATTCTCTCTCCCTCCTGTTTACTCTTTCCCTCCCCTTCTTTCTCTCTCCTCCTCCACGGTTCCTCTCTTACTGCTCTTTCTCTTCGTTTCTCTCCCATCCGCGCTCTGCTGACTCTCCCCTCTCTCTCTCCCCCTCTCTCTCTCTCTCTCTCTCTCTCTCTCATTTCTCATGCTGACGCAATGGAAGCGTAGTTTAATAAATTCATGAGGCTGCATAATGCATTACGCGCAGTCTATATCCAGTCTTCGGCAACCAACCTATGTACTTGGCTTGTGGCCCTACTAGCTTGGAGGATGGCGTTTCCTTTTACCATATGTTTGCTTTCACAGTCTCTTGTGTATGATACCTTTCTTGTTTTACAATAGAAACATCAGTTATAGCCATCCCTCAGGGGGAACTCTCTATTACATATCATACCTTCAGGTTTTATTTTTCTACCAATCCATGTGGGGTTATATTTTATTGTAGTGTGCCTTGTAAGTACTTCACTGTCAAGTGCAGTGTAACACTTCCATGTGTACTGCCTGTGAAACTCTATCTACCAAAATCATGTATATCTATCATAATTGGAATGAGAAAATCCTGTCAAGTTATTCATTTCATGCTTTTGTTCCTCTGTATTTATGACTATAATATATACTTATCAATGATTTTCGATGTAATTTGTTTATTGATTGTTGAATCTTTGTGCTGACTTCTGTTTTTTGTTATTGTTTTCTCTTTTTACAGGTCCAGGAACTCGGTTGCTTCATGAACTAGCATCCACCGTCTCTAAAGACATCCGGCTCAGAGACAGCAAGCTAAGGACCCATGCCTTCTTCCTGGGCCTCCTCAAGTAAGTTATTTAATCATCATCATCCCTCTCCTCTCTTCCCTTCCATCTCTCAATAACAACTTTATCTTTATTCTATAAATAAAATCGCAGATAACAAATTACTCTATTGACAGGGGCATGTTCAGGATTTTGTACAGGGGTAGGTAGGGGTAGGGGCATAATGTAACATTGTCTGAAAGGCTACCTCAAAGAGAAAATTAGATTTTTTGGGTGGGTGCATTTTTTTATCTTAAAAGAAAATGATAAGCAAGCTACAAAAAAGAAAGAAAAGGAGATAGAACAAGAAGAAATAAATGACATAAAGAAATAGTTTGAACATAACTTTTTTAAAGGTGAGCACTTTTTCACAAGGGTAAAAAAATATAACAAAAAATTAAAATGGGAGACACATTTTTAGGGTTGTGAACTTGAGCCTACCAATGCTTCTGAATGTAATAAATTTTGAACAGATGGCTCCTGTGTTAAAGCCTTTAGGAATAAAGGCATTCAGTAGTCTGTGGATTAAGGCAGGGGTATTTTAGATGTAAGTGTTGTTGATAGATTCCTTGACATAGTCACACTGAGCAGTGGAAGAGTAATGTGTTCATATCTTGCCTAGATGACAGGTATATGGGTACATGGTGTGCAGGCTTCAAGGCATCTCATTATTCATTCTACCCCCACTGTGTGTTGTAATGCATAGGCTTTGTTCAGGGTGGTTATTCAATTCTGTTGGGATATGTTATAGATGTGTGGAGTAGTATGGAGTAGAATGCAGAATAAAGGGTAGACATTTGCATACGTGGTTCTTTCCTCTGTTGTGAATGTGAATAGGGGTTTATGAACATGAAAACAATTGATGTACACGAAAATGTATAAATATTTATATGTGTTTAATACATCAGTAAAAATTTGTTTGATAATGAAGGAGGTATTACATATTTTCTTCTTGAAATAAACAAATGTTGCAACTGCTGAAGTCATATGCTTCATTGACAAATTTATCTAATAGGAATATTAATCTTTCAATTTTTGTACAAGCAAATTAATGCATGTACTTTGCCATTAATGCACCTTACATGTTTTCATGCATATAGTTTTCTCGTGAAATGTAAACTTAAATTTTGTATTAAAGGAATATTCTTCTTCTTTTTTTGTTTGGGAGGGGGGGGGGGAGGGGTGGTGGTGAGATTGAAAGGATCTTTATATGAACCAGAGAAAAGGCTGTTTCTTATAGACAGTTTAACATGGAGTCTATTTCCTTTTTGTTTCCTTCAGCATCCGTTGTATGGAGTCTTGGCTTGATCACATCAGGAATCATCCAGGTTGGTTTACATCATTTAATATCATATTTCTTTACAGAAAGTGTTTTTTTTTTTTATGTACTCTTCTCTTTACCACTCCCCCCTCTCTGTCTTTGTCTCTCTCTCTTACTCTCTCTCTCTTACTCTCTCTCTCTCTCTGTCTCACTTTGTCTGTCTGTCTGTCTCCATGTGTCTCTCTCTGTCTCTCTCTGTCTCTGTCTCTGTCTCTTACTCTCTCTCTCTCTCTGTCTCACTGTCTGTCTGTCTCTTTGTGTCTCTCATCGTCATTACTCCCTCTTTCCCTCTTATATCCTATCTTTGTTTATCATTTCCTTATCATTTCCTCTACATGTCCCTTTCTCCCTTTTTTTTGCTCTGAATCATTTTCTCTTGATATAGATTTAATTGAGTGAGTATTCCTTTGATGCCCCCCCCTCCTTTTTTGTTGTGTTTAACAGCACCATAAATTTTGTTTCAACAATTTTATGCAAAGTATTTTTAAAATAAGACTCAACATGTGTCTAATTCTTTCAGCAGAAAAAACACTGTGTGGTCCAAAATTGGCCTTGGTACAAAAGTAAATTTATTTACATTCATCATAATACGCATGTAGATTAAAATTTCCTGTCTTCTTGTCTGATGTATTTTTTTGTTTAAATACAAGTCGTTTTTTCCCCCCTGTACAACTGACTAACAATTGGTGAACAGTTGTTTAATAGGATTAGAGCATTTAGCATACAATAATTGTTAAATTCAATCACGTTCAATCAAATAGTCACACAAGCAAAGTTCTGTTCATAACAATAGGCTCGTATCATAAGAATATATTCATGGCCTCGACTGACATGATGAAATCAAGCCACTGTTTTTGCAGCTGTTGAATGTGATCTACGCTTAATTTTTTATGTTGAATTCTCTTATTTCATGTTTAGTCACGGATTACTCATCCTGTACAAAAATAGTCTAGTCACAAATCTCATTATATTTACAGTATACAGGCTTTGGTTGTATGTAGCATATTTGTCTAGGTCTGGTCTGGCTAAGGGTTGCTTTGATAGATTTTGAAACAGATATCCATAGTTTATAATATAATTTCATAATATATTCACACCTATAGATTTAATATCTTGGCATAACCACTCAAGTAATACTTACATTATTTAAAAGTCTTAACAGCTGTTAATAACCTACGCTCACAAATAATGAGAATGATAGCAAATTTCACACAAAATACTAGTCATATAATTTTTTTCTCCTCTAAGCCAAATCAGCTTTAGCTGTTTATTGATATGACTATGTCTCATTTGGCAACAACAATGTGCATTAACTATTAAACAATCATAGTTTGAATAGACTGGTGAAATACATTCATGAAAATGTACACTTAAAAAAAAAAACACTGAATCATTTCACATTAATGTAGTTGTGAGTAAGTGCTAATCCTGTAATTTTTAAACGTGTGATTGAATATAAAGTAGTCATGATTGCATTTACATACATACCAATTTTTGATTTGTCATGAATTTCTTGTGAAACTCATTTAGCCATGCCCCCCTGTGGTCAGATATGTCGTCAAGGTAGTCACATGTTTCGGCAGATAATCGGTAGAATCAGAGGAAGAATTCCTTGACATTTTGACTAGAATAGATCCCAGCGATAATTTCCAACTTCCACCTCCGATCATCACCTAAAGAAGTATATGAGGGTATAGAATGCAAAGAGAAGTGGGGGTTGGGGAATGTGCATCTAGGTTTGTTTATCCATTTTAATCCCATATGTTTGGATGATGAGGAAGAAAACGGACATGGCCAAGGATTGTTTGCCTGTCTCGCCTGTCAGCCCTTGTGAGATGTCTTGTCATTATTAGGTTATTTCATGCTGGATAATTATTGTAATAAAGAGAAGCAACTCTTGTAACCCATCAAGATTTGTGTCTTGTCAGCAGTGTACTTTGCTTTACATAGTTTTTAATAAAAAGTAATTCTTTTTTTTAATGAAATTTTGATTCAACAGAAAAAATTATGACTTATTTTTAGGCCTCTATAATTACATAGCATACTTGTATTTTTTTTTATTGAGTGGCCATAAGGAATTAAGGAAATAGGAAGGCAGATAGCAATAAGGAATTAAGGAAATGGGAAGTCAGATAACAATACGTGGAAAATTTTCTGTGACATTTTTTATTCAACTGCATGGAATATTAGGCTTTTAAATAAAAAAAACGTCTACAAGGGTAAAAAGTTTAGAAAATAAAGTTTAAAATAGCACCTCCTGTCCCACAAGTTTGGGATTAACTTCCATGATGAAAAATTGCAATTTTGGTTGTTTTGACACTGTATGGTGGAAAGTAGATTATCAGACCTTTCTTTTATTAAGCATGAGCCATAATGCTTGAAAACAGGTGGTATCTTTAAGCTCATCTTTCCAGGGAAAATGTTTTTCTTTCATCTTCAGAAACCTTTGACATGTTTTGCAGTCCCTTATCCTTGGGCCCACTATGGGTGGCAAGACTATTTATTCCATAGCTCCCGATCTAGAGAGCTAATTGAAACAGAAAGATAGGAATCGCAGAAACACTGGCTGACGTAGGTTCTCCATATTTGGTCGTAGCCCCCAACAGGCATGAGTTTAGCATATGTTGCTTCTGCATCCTGTTCTTGATTATTGCCAGCATTTTGCCAATCCTGTTCTATTAAGACTATATCAGAAATAATTAGGCATGCTTTGCCTGTGTTTATTTTACTAATAAAGAAAAAATATATATAGTTAAGACTGAAATATTATAGGATGTGTAGGCCTACTTTGCAATGTCCTCTGATTTAATTATCAAAATATATTTAAAATGCCTAACCTACAATTTAAGCTTGTAAGATTAGTGAGCTTTTCAGTAAAGTAATGAGACATAGAGAGTTTTCTATTTGTCTTACATATTGTGCAGTTAGTAACACTATAGATGAACATTTTTTGTTCAAACTACAAGGATTTCATTGAAAAATTGTGAAAATATTCATCTGGAGAGCCGTTTTTTCATACTTACTTCAGAATCTATGATTGAAATAAGAGTAACAATCAAACTAATTGTTAATAGCAAATATGGTTTCCCTGGATTTAGATCAGAAACCGTACATTATTTGTTAATTTTTAGACAAACTTGCTGCTTAGAAAGTCCTCTGCTTCTCTCTTCAGTTTTGTAATGTATCTGCAACTCCTTTCACCTGAGTTACACTTCAGGTTAATGAAACCTCTCAGATATTGTTGACTAATTGGAGCCGAGGTGATCGATGAGGATCAGATGTTTGAGACATTCTTACTTTATCAGGCCTTGAACTTTGGTGAAGAGCTGTACCAACTGTTTCCCCTGCCAAGCTTTAGAGGCAAATTTAACTTACTTGAGGCTTTGTTCTCCATCTTCAGCAAGAAGTTTATAAACACTTTAAGAAGACAACTTTCTTAGTAGCAGTATGGCTTTTGTATCAGGCAGTTTTTAAGTATGTCTTTACCTAATCTTCTTATGAAGGGTAAATTTAAAATTACCTTTGGTATACCAGAAAGGACCTTGAACACTGTAGATATATTCTGTGTTCTGTTTTGTTTTATTATTATTATTTTTTATTCATTTTCTTGAAATTCAATGAAGGGATTCAAGAGCACTACGAATATTACCTCATTATCGAGAAGAAAAATATCCCCTTCCCAAATCGGATGATACAGAAATTTAATGCCTTTTTTCTCAGCGCCAAATATTAAATATGCATAAAAGTTGAACTTGGAGAGTAATGCATTCCATTTTTGAAAGTCAATCTCCCTTGTCTTGTGTCATACCTTTAATACTCAATCATCCACCTATTAGAGGGGTGATGTAATACCCCCAGGGAAGTTTCTGGTCGGTTTGAAAGGTAAACCAGGCTGTCAAGCCATCTCACTTCTCACCTTACCCTGGACCCGCCCACTCCCAGAGTAACCTTCTTGCAAGGGGCTCAAGTTTGCCCTCCTCTCTTCCTTAGTAACTTTCTGTTTAAGCGGTAAAGGTCTGCCCCCTCTCCTCTTGAAAGGGGTTCAAGTCTGTCCCCTCTCCTCAAGTAACTACCTTGGAAGGGTGCATGTCTGCCCCTTCCAGAATAACCTTCTTGCAAGGGGCTCAAGTTTGCCCTCCTCTCTTCCTTAGTAACTTTCTGTTTAAGCGGTAAAGGTCTGCCCCCTCTCCTCTTGAAAGGGGTTCAAGTCTGTCCCCTCTCCTAAAGTAACTACCTTGGAAGGGGTGCATGTCTGCCCCTTCCAGAGTAACCTTCTTGCAAGAGGTTCAAGTTTGCCCTCCTCTCTTCCTTAGTAACTTTCTTGTAAGGGGTACAAGTCTGCCCCCTCTACTCTTGAAAGGGGTACAAGTCTGTCTCCTCTCCTAGAGGAACTTCCTTGGAAGGGGTACAGGTCTGCCCCTCCCATACTAGCTTCCTTGTTAGAGGTACCAGCTTCCCTCCTTCTTCCATAGTAACTTTCTTGTAAGGGGTACAAGTCTGCCCCCTCTCGGGATAACTAGAATAACTTCCTTGGTAGGGGTACATGTCTGCCCCCCTCCCATCTTCCATACTAATTTCCTAGTTAGGGGTACCAGTCTACCTTCCCCCTTCCAGAGTAACCTTTATGTGAGGGATTAATATTTGTGCCTTTCTCCTAGATATTCACCTTCCAAGGAGGAACAAGTGTGCCCCCCCCTCCCACTCTTGAAGTAACCCCCTTGTATTGGATATGAGTTTGCCCCCTCTACCAAAGTAATAAGCTCCTTCCAAGATGTTCAAGTTCACCCCCCCCCTTTCTTGAGTTACCTCCATAAAAGGGGAGACAAGTGTGCCCCCTGCGAGCTATCAGGATGTGATTTTCTTGAGGTTGTCTTTTGTTGGTAAAGGTCACCCTCAGCCGGGTGACACCATGTGTCATTATGAAAATAGTATATCACTGGTAACATCATTTTTTCAAGTTTCATGTTACCCTTTTGGGGGTATCCATGGTCTTTGTTTCAAATTTTAATTATTTTTAGAGGGCATCAAATGTATTAAAATATTTTTAATAGTGTCCTTTGTCTGGCCGAGAGAGCCGTCTAAATGCATCCCTGTTTGAAATAGTTACCTCTGTGCAGGATAGTATGATGATCTCAGATTTTCAACCAACATCAAATAAGGTACAAACCATCTTTAACATAATGAGCTCATTCCCAGTGTCTAATCATCATGATCATCCTTCATGATCACCCACCCATTGCATGCCATGAGGTCGCAGACAGTAGCACATTAGTAAAGTGCTTTCAGTCTTACCGACATTCACTAGAGCATGTCATTATGATGATCTAGCATTTTTCATTTGAGTGTACAACAAGAGTTAAAGCAACCATTATCGATCATATTTGGCTTGATAGCTAGAGCTCTGCATGTGGCTCAGTGGTTCAGTAGCTTGGTGGCTTTAATACCAACAAATTGCAGAATGTTTAAATGAACATCAACCTTTTCTGCTGTCTAACCTATTTTGAAAATATTTACATTCGACCGCTCTAAACATATTATCATTAATATGACAGAGCACTCTTATATACATGAACATGCATTGTGGAATGAGCTCTTGACATGGAAATAATAGGTCCGTAGAAAAATTAAGAAATAGATTATTGAATAGAATAGAATAGAATTATTCTTTTTCTAAAATTTTCATAGTCTTTACATGAGGAAGTGTCACGATTCAAATACTCATTTCGTATAATAAAGTTTATTTCCAATATATATGTAATCAGTTTCAAACCTTTAAAAAAGAGACGATGTAGATACAATAAAAGGAGACAGAACATTTATTAAAAGATACCTGGTTACCCAGAATCTATCTTTACCATGAAGTTATACATTTATCTCAACCTTGTAATGATGACCATGACCCAAATTTTGATAGCCTTTAAATAAAAACCATCAGGCTTTGTGAATAAACCATGAAGGTTATTATATGGCAAGTATTAGGCTAATGAGCCGATCAAGGAAAGAGGATATGTAGGACTCGATGAAGCAGAAACTTGTCATATTGCAAACTGATAAAAAAGGGATATCCACGTCATAAGGTTCTAGCAAATTCTCTGCAAGGAAGTATAAACAAAATCTTCTAATAGTCACAGATCTTGTGTATGTATGTTCATTTACATTTTACTTTGAATAGCTGTGAAGTTCATTTGTCATGATCAAAATGTCACATTTAAGTGTTGTTTTTGTGCCCTTCCTGGTAAATTATTAACAAACCTTAAGCATAAATGGAGCATGATCAATCGGGAAGATTTGCTGTCGCCAATACTTTTGCCTTCCTCTCTTGAAGTGGGGCCAGCTAGACCGAGTGATGTAATGTTGAAGAAGATGGTGACTCACATGATACGAGGAGACATTGGAGTGCTCTCTGGTTTTGTGGCTTGATGGAATTTAAGATAAATATTCATCAATGTTCGGTGTACTTTAGATGAGGGTTGCCAAGTGATCATTACTCTGTGGCCATTATAGGGTGGAGGTGGGAAACCAGTGAGGTTAAAAGTGCCATCTCAGAGAAATTGTTAAAAGAATGCGTCATGCCAAAGTGACGACTGTTCCTAATTCCAACTAAAGATGGCGCTGTTTGTATTTATTGGATTATGAACTTTGGCTGATTCAATTACTTCTTTGTGAGAAGCCTATGTTTGCATTAACAAGCTTTCATTGGAGATTGACTTCTTGACTTAAACTGTTTCTAGTAAATTTTATTGAAAAAGTAGAATTATGTCCCAAAGATGTGACAGGAAATAAATAAATGGACCTCATCAATCAATGACTGTATTTGGGTTTTTCCATGCATCTAAAGAAAATTCATAAATGACAATTTCCATGATGGCATTCTGAGTCATGCAATGACCGTTGTTTCATTTTATTCTTTTCAGAATCCATCAAGCGTCTTTATGAGCCCACCGCATTTCTTTCTTTGATCAACACTGCCCCCTTCCAGCAACTCTTCAGCGATCTTCTCGTGGCTGTTCAACCTCTCGCTCAGCTCCCCTTCAATCTGGACCATGGTTTTGAGTACGGTTACATCCAGGCCGAGAACATGAGGCAGAGGGAGAAAGAGCAGCTCATGGAACAGCACAAGGAAGGTGCGCAACTTGGTGGACTCAACACCAACAGCCTGGTGGACGCAAGACACCACCACACAGAGGGAGGTAATACTACAAGTGGATTTCCCACCGTACACCTCTTTGGGCGGGCGCCGCGAAGCGACGGAGCGCCCTCACCGAGGCAGAATAACACTGGCATGTATAGCTCAATGACTGTCATGCGCAACATGCGCAGAGTAACTCCAGCAGGGCGGCAGGAGTCTTCAGAACAGCCTACCACACAAGGAAGGCTGTTGAGGACAGTGAATAGCACCCCTGTGGAGAATGTATCGGGTCATGAACTGGAGGCGGGGAACGGTCCAACGAGACCGAACCCTGTGAATGGTCAGTCAAATAGATGGTCACTCGGATGGATCAAGGATTTTGCGACCTCCGTTGCAGCGCAGCAACCAGAGAGGGCGCCCTCACGGACCAGACAGACCAGTTCTAAGTATGACGTGGGCAGGAGGAGTAAGAGCGTGGATGTACAAGGATCCAGTATGGTATCACAGAGCTTCTCAGTCGCATCTGGATGGGGCAAGATTGGATCAAGGTGAATTTTTAAAGCCCCACTGTACCTACTTGCTCCCTCTATATAGGAAACGATGCCTAATCGGTGACCGTTGGTCCCCCATGATCCTCTTTTTCTTACGTTAATTGAGAGCTGAGTTGATGAGATAACCACCTGTCAGTGACCACGCTGGGTGGTCTAATCCCTCCTGGCCAAACTAGTACAGATAGGCTTTAAAGATAGTTCAAAAAGTTATTGTGAATAAAAGGTAATTTTCCCTCTAAGATAGAGTAACGTTCATGATGTCCTTTGTTCAGAAAATAAAGAACAAAAATAATTTCATTTTAAAATAAGTTCAGCACCTTTTCTTACCGTATATTTTTGCTTCTGGCTCTGTTAAAAATGGGTCAACCCAATGGATGCAATTTAATTTTTGATATAACTTTTGTTTTTTCAATTAAAAAATGCAGTTTAATTTATCTCAGACTTAGTATTTAACAGAGTAATGACTACTGAATAAAGATGTTTCTACCAAAATGTCATGCATTTTTTCGTCATCAACCATTTTTACCAACCGGCTAAAAATGTATGGATATTACTTTTCATATATAACTAAATACATGTATATGAATATGAGTCTTCATTAAACTATTTTAACATTGTTCTTTATGCAGCTTCTCCAAGATGTGGAATCAGATGATGCCCCCACAACCCCAGCAGGTAGAGCCCAAGACTGTACCGTCTACACCCCCACCAAGCCCATCAATGGAGAATGAAGTGAGACAGGTCGCTGATGGTCAGAGCCCATGCCAACACCATCCACCAACATCCCCCAACAAAACTAGCCCAGGGTAAGCTATCGGTTATATATCACACCTAGCATTTTAGGCTTGTGGGTCATAAGGCCTGCCTTCATCAGCTCAAGTTTGCCAAATAACCCGCTATTTCCAGACTCAGGATATTATCCCCAAGCTCGAAATTGCGTCTTCACCAGACTGATCATCACAGACGCTCATCACAAAGTAGCTCGGACGGGCGCAAATTAGCCCGCTATTTCCCAGATAGCAGGATATTTTGGAAACAAGACCAATATTTCTTGGGATATTTTCTCGACCAAACTGCGGGCTGATGAAGACGCAAATTATCTGGCTAATTTGCAATCGGGATAGATAAAATAGCAGGTTATTTGGCAAACTCGAGCTGATGAGGACAGACCTATAGTGGTTTTGTCTTGCTGTTCCCCTCCGAGGCTTAACAATGTACTGTGATAATGATTAAACAATTACATGAAAATCTAATCCAATGATGGATCTTTTTCTCTCTCTGAATTTTCTATATTACATATACTTCTTCTCAGTGGTCCACATTCACACAAAGATCTCGCTTGATGTCTTAGAATTCCCCTCGTTTGCCGGCTTCTTGAATTTAATCAGAAGTAGTGTTGCAACTTATAAAGCTTATCAGTAAATTACAAACAAAAGTACAAACTATCATATGATTGAACCAATTCAGCTGAAAAATAGCAGTTTATGTACACTCAGAGAGGAACCTAAAGCCGTTGGTCCTCTGGTTGCTTACTAACAAGCATTTATGCTTTCTTAGCAGTCGGGTAAAATATAAAAAATAACCACAAACCACCTTTGAAATCAATTTTCTGTACCTATGTCACCAGTCAGATTCTGTTGTTGCATTCACCTGTTGCATCATTCTAATCCTTCCTATGCCTTTGTTCACTTCTCCCCATGTTACAGGAGTCCAGTCAAGGCTCTCTGCCACCATGTCACCATGACCGAAGGTGAACTGTGCTTCTCCAAGGGCGATGTCCTCACCGTCGACAGACAGGTGGACCAAGAATGGTTACTCTGTTCCCATGGCAACGAGTCGGGCTTGGTCCACGTCGAGTACGTCCAGGGTCTGGAATGAAGATCCTGGTCCTGGTCCAGACAAATTATGTCCGTAACAACGTCGCCATGACGACGAAGATCCATGCATGAGGTCACGAAGGCCTCCGATAAGACACTGATGTACAAGTTGCCGTGTATATATATATATATATATATACACTCTGCTTGTTTTCAAACTTCACCTGCATGCAGTTCAGAAGGAGGTTACACAATGCTCTTCTGGACCTGTGAATATTGCTTGATTATCTCTTCTCTAATACGAGAATACAGCAAATCCGATTTGGCATGTGTACTTAAGATCACTTAATCTGCCATTTGACAAGCTGAAAATGCACACTTTGAAAGATGAAAATGTGATATGCAAAGAAAATATCACTATTATTTGGAATGTGATAAAATGCTTTAATATATTATACTCTCACTTTTTTAAAATCATGCAAAAATTAATTCAAGCCATAAAGCTATAATACAGAATGATATATTACTCTGTTTAAGCAAGTTTGGTGATTTTATATGCAAACAAATTTGTATGTGCACATCATGTCTTTAATCATTACATTTGCAATGCAGTGGTACCTATTTGAATACAAAAATACATTGAGTGCAGCTATTGTCAAACTGTTATTTGCAGCTTTCATTCTGCCTGACTTTAAACTGTACAACAATATGAGGAAGCTCAAATATTACATAAAGTGGCAAACTTTATGAAGACTACTTTTCATGCCGTTATTGAAAAAAAATTATACTTAAAAATTATACTTGACAAACAAACGATTATGGCATTAACAATAGAAACATTTTTTTTAATGGGACCAAAACAAAGTTTAAAACGATGTCAGTTTGGCTAAAATATACTATTTGTTCATAGACTAATTGATATTGAATGAAGGATACTAATTCATGTGAAAGCTAATATTTAGGTAATGTCTATGGGCAATTTTTATTATATTTTAAATGTTATAATTTCATTTTATAATCATAGATGGGATTCACTGGCAAGGGAATACTAAAACTATTGAATTTGGACTTTGAGTGTAAATCTTACAGTTATGATTCCGATTTTACTTGGGGTTCTTAAAAATGATTACTAATAGCTTTAACAAACATTCTACTTCCAATATAAATTGTGTGGCAAAAAAATAAAGGACTTCACTTGTTTCTAATGTTATAAATATATCAACAATATGAAACGATGATAAATTATCCGCTTTGTACTGCCAATGGGATACCTTTTTTCTTACAGTCTTGCCTACAATGATCATCTCAGCGATATTCGATTAGGAGTTTTTAGTCTATAAAGTCAAAAGATATTTATACAAAAATATATAAAATGTAAAATATGAAAATATTTACCTCTCTGTACAGGGAATGTTGCTTTGGTCATAGATTTAGCCCACCTGTAATTTATCCTTATTTGTTTTGTACACAAATGTACATATTAAATTATTCTTTGTTTCAAAGACGAAAAAAGAAATGAGTGGCAGCTCATGAATATTGGTTTACTTTATCTCGATTGGCAAATGATATCTGCTCAAAACTTTCTGTGAACTCAAGAGATAAAACTTTAAAAATGTATTCACTACTAGGGTTATGGAGAAGTATCTGCTGGTCATTGTCATCACCAATGGCTTGCTTTAGAAATTATCTGTTAAAATGATCCAGTTAGGATAGGAAATATTGAAAGGAAACCTGGTATTTGTTGGTGTGACAGAAGCTTGTTACTTTTTGAGCTGTACTGGTGGCTGTGTAGATATAGCTGGTAGGTATTCCCATACCAGGGAGGTCACTAAGTAGGGGTAAGTGATTACAATGAAAGAACTTGTTCATGTGAGATATAAGGGATCAAAGGTTATTTTCACACTTTCCAATATTTACAAATATTTACAAATAGCAACCTTTTTTGCATAATATTAGTTCCAACATAATGGTATGATGTCTCAGTACTTGATAGCTGAGTATCTTGGTTACTTTGTGGCTTGATATAGCTCTGTGGCTCAGTGGTTCAGTAGTTCGGTGGCTCTGTGGCTCAGTGGTTCAGTAGCTTGGTGGCTTAGAAGCTCAGTAACTCAGTGGCTCTGTGGCTTGAAAGCTCAGTAACTCAGTGGCTCTGTGGTTTGAAAGCTCAGTAACTAAGTAGCTTAGTTGCCAAGTATTGCATAAAACATTAAACAAAAGAAGAAGACATACTACTCAACGGAAGAAGTAAATATGTTTGTTGTATATTGGAGGGTCTTTCTTTCTTTCTCTCTCTCTCTCTCTCTCTCTCTCTCTCTCTTTCTGCCTCCCTATCTCTCTCTCTCTTGTTGGAAACCCTTCATCAAACCAATGGAAACGTAGGATTTTTATTAGAATAATGGGATAAAATATGAAATGGATATAAAAAGAATTGTAAAAACGCCATCTGACATGCTAATATATGAGCTGTATTGCTTGCAATATCAGTATGACTTGTATGTAGGGTCCCTCATGCCATGTTGGTCACACCATGGGGTATGAGGACTGGATGGGGTAAATTCCTTAAAACCTTATTATGAGCTGCCATTTCATATGTACATTATTAGTATTTAAAAATAAGAGATTTTCTGCATTGTTTTACAGTGGATATGTTTATGATTATACAAACAAGCTTTAATGCGTTTGTACAAACTTATCCTTTCCTCAACTCTTTATGCATGTTTTGGTAAACAACTTTAGCCCATGTTCATGACCATCTTCATAGTTTCATTAAGGTAATAATCATCCAAATAGAGCCTAGGATATGCACGCAATGTACAGTCCGGTGTGTTTCTTGATAGCCTATCCGAGCCCTTTGTAAATTATCCTAAATTTAAAAAACTCATAAAAAATACAAAATTACAAAAACCTAATGTCCGTTCTGTCTACAGAAATGTTCGTTGATTGTTTTTTAAGTGATGTAGAGTATTATCATCTTCAAACCATTAAAATACAGCCAATTTCCATACCATAGACTATTTGTCAAACATAGTATAATTTCTTGATCCATTTTAATGGCAGTTATTCACAGTAACATGTGTTTATTGGTTCTTGCTCTCAAGGAATTTTGAGCCCAAACTAAGCAACAAATCATAATTTGAATTAATGCATTACATATTTGGAGGGTACAAATCTTTCATTAAAAAAAAAAAATTAAACTTTAATAAGAATACTTGACTTATAGAACGTCACTGCTGCTCTTAGTATCAAGATTTATTGGTCAAGCTGAAATATATAGTGCAATATTGCGAGAAAAGAATATGTGGGAGAGATAAAATGCTGAATTTCCTTTATTGAAGGAACCCATGTTCAAGTTGTAGTTTGGTAAAGCTATATCTGTTGTTATGAAAGGAGTATTTCACATTTAAAAAGCTATATATTATTGGAGAATGACGATTTGCTATCAGTATAGACGAAAGCAGAGATAGAAATCTTGTTTTATTACTTTTTTCAATGCAGCTTATGATGGTAAAGAAGTGTGAAATCATGTTCAAAGTATAAACAAAGAAACAAACAAGTAATAATAAGTTTTTACTCATGAAGGAATTACTAGCAAATATGTATTGCGGCAGCATTAAAAGTATTATTTGTTGAACCAGCAAGATTGTTGAACATTTACCCTCAACCTGTTAGTAGGATAGATAGCAATGTCTAATTCACCTGAAAACCCCAAAAGGCATTCTTAAAAGAACAGAAGTGTCTTTTGAGAATTTTGATGGGTGATGCCAGTCAAAATTGAATGTTATGTGAATTCAGTATTTGATGTTGCAGAGTATGAAACAAGTGAGGTACTAAAAATATAATGGACGTATTAAAAAAAGGGCAATTCTGCAACCTTGTATTTGATCTGAAAAATGCTGTGAGGAGTATAAAGCGGCAGCAGTAGCAAATACCGAGGTTTCTCTCTCTGTGTGTACAAACTGTCGATGTAAATGTAATGTTCTGTAAATGACTCTATTGTGAGCGATGTTTGCATCTTTTTTAGACTGTATATGTGGCAATTGAGATTCCTGTGCAGAATATGCAAAAAGATTCGTTGAAAATAAAGCATGTATATACGTGAGATAGTTCAAGGAATATAAATGTTGTGCATGTTAAGAGGTGTTTTTTGTACTCAGGAAAGGAATATTCAAAGAGAATCGACGTTGAGAGAAAAAAGGATACTTAATTACGTATTATATCAGTTTGTGAAATTGTGTTTTTATCTTTCCCCAATTACTGATATGTTTTAGTCATTAATCTTTGATTGAAATCTCCCTTTCCTTTCATATATCATTGAATCCCTTTTGCTTATTTTTTGTTGGTCATTCCATCCCGCTTATTTAGCATCTATGAATAATCTATGCCAAATCCTTCTTACCCAAAGCTTTCCAAGCATACTCTATGTTCAACCTATGTTTCATATGTTTGTTTGTTTGTAATAAAATGTTGTCCTTGTGAAGTAGAATGATTACATTTCTACCGACTCTGTCATTTTTTGTAGTAGGTGTTTATTGTAGTGATGAGGGTTCAGTTTGAAGCAGGCATGAGAGTAGGTGTGAGAGAAAGAGAAGATTCAGATTCATATTTGCTGTCAGATGTCTATCTCATCTATTTAAAACCTGACAGACTGTCACTCTCTCTTTTCTTTTTTTTTCAATCCCCTTAATGGACACCGACATCTTTTCTTCAGGTTTTGTTATGAACTACTTTTATGCCTCATTATCTATTAACAAATTAGCAAAGCCAAAAGAAATGATTGATCATGATTAACCAAGGAATTACATCTCTTCACCTTCATGGGGACTAAAATAGTTTGTCGAAGGATATGGAATGATTATATGATTAGATTATTCGAATTGATTGACTGTCAGATGTGGTCGCATCATATTTTGATTGACAGGTGGAAAACATGAGTGAGAGTGATGAGACAGTTGAGTTGACGTGTCTGAAGGTAAAAGAGAAACATAGTTTGATTTGTTAGAAAGGATCTGAGAATACCTGAATGGATGCGAGAATGGAATTCAAGAGGATCCCCGACTTGCCACTCAATATATAATGTGTAATTGATTGCTTGAGGAACAGACTGATAAGTAGTAAAGTGAATATATTTTATCATTCAATAGAGAATTATAACAAAAAAATTAACATACGGTACTGATATAATGATCAGGGTCAGAGAGAGAGAGAGAAAGAGAGAGAGAGAGAGAGAGAGAAGTAGAGAGGAGTGAGATAAGAGTGAGGAGTGGGAGTGAGCATGAGGAGTGAAAGAGAGAGAGAGAGAGAAAGGGAGAGACAGTGCATGAACAAGGAGTGTGAGAGAGAGAGAGAGAGAGAGAGAGAGAGAGAGAGAGACAGAGAGAGGGAGTTGGAGGATGTATATATATTTCGTATTAATAGTATGTTTTACACATATATTTTAAAAACGAATCGAAAGCCTTTGCACAGGAGGAGTTGAGAGTTGGGGGCACTTTAATATACCCTGAAAGATATAGGCCTACAGCAATTTAGAGGAGCTAGCATTCATCTCTACGGAAAATGCTGCAGCGCTGCGTTGTTGCCAAGATACTGAAAACAGATGGCGCTCTTCAAGACGTTGTTATTGCTGGATAACTCTGCACTTCGAAGGTGATTTTTCATGATTATTTGATAATGTTTATTGCTATAATTTGTTCATATGTTTATAGATGCCTTATGTTTCTTTGATGATGTGTATTTTGCCTTGGTTTTTTGTGAATTATTAGTTAAAATCGCTTCAATTTACTGGTCGTTCTCTTTTTCTTCATACCAGTCCGATCCATTGAAATTGGCGTTGTAATATTTACATAATGAAATTTTGTTTTGGTGGTTGTGGTGGTTATTTTATCTGACTGCTAAGAAAGCATAAATGCTTGTTAGTAAGCAACCATAGGACCGACGGCTTTAGGTCCTCGGAAAGACCTGGTATGAGGATTAATGTCTTACCAAAGGGCACTATAGCGCATCGCCTTGGTTTCGAACCCAGGTCGCCGGATTACGAGACCATGGCACTGCTCTACAAACTTAGACAGCAATAACCATCTGATTTGGGTCATTTCTTTAATAAAACTGACATTTGTTGTCATTCCCCAATACAGATGGCAACCCAGAGATCTCGTACCGTGGGGGTAAATTAGAGCCACAGCGGAACAGCTTTTCGTTACCGACATTTCTCCCCCGATTTTCTTTATTTAGGGTCTAGAATCTAGATCTAATTTTCTGATTTCTAAATCAGATGTAAATTAGGTCGGTATGTCATTTGTCCTAATTACAGTTATCAAAATTTGATAACTTAATATTAAATTGATAATTTACGGACTTACTTATATGAATTATCCAATTTGTATCTCCAAACTGTGAAACTACGTTCATGCACTCGAAAATAGAGCTATATGACCCGGCGGCCGGTATATTTCCGGGTCAACCTACGCCAATGGCCAATCAGAGCACTCGTTTCATGGGAGTTCGTTGGTCAAGCCGGGCCGACTCCGTACGTAGCTACGGTAGCTACTGGACGTTCGAAAAGAAAAAATGAATATTCATCAACTAAAACCAAGACGGATAATGTTGTCGACGAGACTTTCTCGGATTAATCATTAATTTAGGATCTAAATGAGCAAGCTATCGTAAGACAAATAAGCTATATATATGTTATTTTTAATTTTTATTATAATTGCAGCAGTTATGAGGATGTAAAGAGTGAAAATTTCGTTGCATATCTCATTCATCGCGGTCCGGTCGAACCGAACCATTTGTTCTGTACAGTCCCTCACAGTACGAGGTCCCCATCCTTCAGTCTCTATAATCGGAGGTCTAGTGGAGCCAGACGTAGTCTCAGTGGAACAACCGACGATTAGAGAGACTGAAGTTTTCGGTCTATACAAACTGAGCTATCGCCCCTCCTCTCACTGGCTGGAATCAGTCACTCAAACTGTACACAGTTAGTAATCTATAGTAATTACATGGTTGAGAGCTTGGCCATATGAAAGAATTTCCCCTTTTTTAAGTGTTGCCAAGTAATGTTCACCAAAAAATAAAGCAATAAACTAAAGAGTAAAGGCTAAAGCAAACGTCGAAACAAAGCAAAGAGAAAAAAGAAAAAGTGAAATAGAAGAAGAGGGCAATAGTACTAAAATGTGAAATAGGAGCAACTTTAGAATACCCCACCACAAAAATTGAATCAACGTTCATAGAGTACCAAGTACTTCACAAATGAAGCTAAATCTCAAGACTTGAGCTCTTTAAGTACCTGTAACACTAAACCTAATCCTAACCCTAACTCTCACCCTAACCCTAGGTCTTCAACGTTTATGTGCATTATCTCATTGGTAGGGTATTATAATGTTAAGCCGTGAAATATCCTAACCAAATTAAGGGTCTTTAAAAAAAAAAAAAATTAATTTGTCTCTATTTGTAACAAGATTGTTGTTCTTGTTCACTTGTACATGTAATAATGAAATGTTTTAATATTGTTGTTTGTTACTCTTTCTCAGATTTTGGATACCACTTGAATGAAGCCATGGCAGAAGACGAAACACAATGCAAGAATCTAGAAGGTGATCCAGATGCTGATGAAACTGGAGAGGGTAATATGCTTAATAATGAGACGGGTAACGTTAATGACATCCAGGTCATTGACCTTGAAGAAGCTGATCAAAATACCAGTCCTTGTCACCAACACAATGGTAGTAATAGCCAAAAAGTTACAGATTCAGAAGGATTGATGAATAAAGTGTTAGAATACAAGGAGAGGGAGGCCGAGACAAAGAAATATCAGTATCCACATAAATCGAGTGAGCTCCTAAGAGAACTGAATGGCTTCAGGATTGCAGGAAAGCTTGTGGATGTGACTTTGGTGTCTTCAGATGAAAAAGAGTTCCCTTGCCACAGAGCTGTCCTTGCAGCCAGCACCCCATACTTTGATGCAATGTTCACCGATGATCTTCAGGAGAGTCGCAGCGATCGTATCGAACTGACCAACATCAAAGGCGCGGCGTTGGAATCCATCATCCGTGCAGTTTATATGTGTGATGTAGATATCAGTAGCGATTCAGTACAAGACCTTCTTGCCACAGCACATTTTCTGAACTATCCCCATATCCTAGAATCTTGCTGCCAGTTTTTGGAAGATTCACTGGCACCACAGAATTGTCTGGGGATCGTTGAGCTGGCAGAGACCTACGTCTGCGACAACCTCCGGACTCGGGCTTGGAACTATGCTCTAGAAAACTTCAGAGATGTTTCATCGTGTCAAGAGTTTCTTCAGTTAGAGGCGTCTGTCTTGGAACGCCTTGTTACTTGCGATGAATTAAATGTTTCTGGAGAGGACGAGGTGCTTTCAGCTGTGCTTCAGTGGGCTTTGAGTGATCAAGCTCATATTGAATTTTTACCACCTGTTCTAGCAAAAGTGAGACTCCCTCTTGTCAGTGATGAATATCTAACTGGAGCTCTGAATGCACACCACTTCCTACATGGCAGTGGCAAGTGTCTCTCACAGATTAGAGATGCCCAGAACCTGAAAGGGCTTGCGAGAAACGGAAGACGACGGGATCATGCCCTGCTAAAACCAAGACATTCCATGAGGACCGAGGTATTGGTAGTGGTTGGTGGTATGATAGATAATAGAGAATGGATAACTGATGTATCTAGCTTCAACCCAAAGACTAACCACTGGTCTCCTATGGCTAACCTTCCATTTGACCACTCCGACTATGCAGCTGCTAGCGTTGATGATGCTATTTATGTGTCTGGTGGCTTCCATCGCACCAAGGGAACTATCTCAGAAGTATGGCGTTACGATGAGACACACGATAGATGGGCTCTGGTTCAAGACCTGATACTGCCGCGTTTTAACCACACTTCCATTGGACATGATCACCATATTTATGTGTTAGGTGGTGAGGATGGTGATAGCTCCCTAACTGAGATTGAGAGATACTCTCCCGAGTTGGATAAATGGGATATCATTGGCTCCATCAATCCAACTGGAAGCGGGATGGCTGTCGTGGCCCTTCGCAACAGACTCTACATCATTGGATGGCTGACCAATGTGAGGTTGATGTGTGTTGTGCAGTACTTTGATCTGGAGACCTTGGAATGCTCCACCATCCCCAGCTCAGGACTCAACCGTCAGCTCTTCCCTGCCGTTGCCCTTAACGACTCCATCTTCATCCTGGGTGGGAACCGCATGAAGGAAGTGGCCGTCTATGACCCAGAAACATTCACTTCCACCAAGGCAGAGTCCATGAAATTCAAGAGGAATACACCGAGTGCAACGGTGGTAGGAGGAAAGATCTACGTGACTGGAGGTGAACTGAGGCAGCATGTAGCTAAGGTAGAGTCCTATGATCCCTATCTTGATCTGTGGGACATTCTGGAGCCCATGCCACATGCTGTATGCTTTCATGGATGTGTAATGATCAGGAAGTACCTAGGTCCACCATATCAGACGTGAAGTTCTGACATTTTCTGTATGAGGGCTTGTTCAGAATAAGCGGAATATTTGTTGCAGCCTGTATCTGTACCTCATTGGATGGTGGACTGATGTAAGGTATTAAAAACGTATAATTAATGTTGTTCTTGGCTTATCCTTCTGTGGCATGTGAGGTGGGAAAGAAAATGATTTACCAGGCCGATGTGTAATGTACAAAATGGATTTGTATTTGACGTTTTGAATGTAATCACTGAAGTTCACAGATTTGCTACAGCAGGCTACATTTTGGTGCAAGTAAGAACTACCGGTAACCTTAAGTTTATGATATGTAGATGTCTGATAGCCATAAGTCCAGCCATTCCCACCCAAACAAAAAGAAGAGGAAGAAAGAAACAGCCAATTTATCTGCCCAGATGCAAAATGTGTTTTTGAAGTGTTGATTTTTTTTTCTTCAGGAAAATAATTTTGATATATGCATTCATTCTAATTTTATCCTTAATTGTGTGGAATCGCAGAAGTTACTTAATACCTTCACAGTAGATTTCTAAACGATTCCCATGGTTTTCATTTTTTTTAAACATCAGTGACCTTTACGGTCACCGTGGATTGCTTTCTTACTTGATTATATCACATCGGAAAAAAATAATGTTATGTTTTCCCCAACAAAGAAAAACAAACCCACTGTTAATCATAGCATAGGTTAACATGCAAAATAAGACAATGTAATAAATCTGCTTTCATAGGGATTTGCGAATGATGATTCTTTACTTTGCAGAGAGGTGATTGTGTGTACTTCCAAGGGATTTCAGGACACTTTTAAGAATACTGACTGTACAATTAGGGAGTGGAAGTTTTGTGATCATTTAATTACCAGTATATGAAAATTAAAAAGTCATGTGTGGATGAAGTTAATAGTCTTTAGGCTATTATCGTATGAAATTCATTTCACACAATCACCCAGCTAGGTGAAGTTAGTGCTACAGTTATGAAAGTTTCCTTGCCCCCCCCCCCCTCGGAGTAAAACAAAATTACCGCTAGATGGGTTTCGACATATACTGCAATTCTTATTGTTAATGATCGAGTTCCAGGTGTTGCCCATAAATCATATATTTTGCTTCAGTGCTGTTCAACTTTCCAGGATATCAAGTTTAAAAAAATTAAAAAGGGGATATGATTTCTGCAGATTAGAATTATTACTTATCAATAACAATCAAAGAAATTCAGCATATTGATTTGACAGCTAGTTTTCACTGCTTTTTGAGATTTAAAAGTATGTAAATGATGGCTTCATTGTATCATTCTTAAAGGAACTTGGTAACATTGTTCAGATGAGAGAAAATGGTGCTAAGGTAGTGAATTCAATGCTAGATGTACAATTAAAGATAACCTGAAAGTTTGAGTGGAGAACTTACCATTATTAATGATAAAAATTGGGAAAAACTTATCTGATCAATTCCTTAATTCTCCCAACTATAAGTACAGTAGAAGGAATATAATGAGTAACATTTCATACAAAACTTACAGTTTTTTCATCAATGTTACCGAGTCACTTTAATACTGCAAGTTGGTGGTAACAAGGATGATATAGAAGGAGCTGTTGAATAGCTAGCATGAAAACTCAACTTTCTTGCCATATGATTGAATTTGTAACAAGTTCATTATTCAATAAAGCATGTGTATTAAGGACTTTCTTTGTATCTTTAATGTATTATTTTGGGCAAGTTTATCTTTGTTGCACATTATCAATACAACAATATAAAGTAGTACTTTTGCCAGGGTATATTTAAGGAGATATTGAAGCAAAGTTTGAATTCTTATAGATCAAATTTGATATTGAAAAAATTAGAGAGATAGGAAAAGAGTATAAAAAGGGAAAGTGAATTGGAGAAGGGGATAAGAGAAGGGGGAAAAAAGAGGGAGAGAGAGGTAGCAAAATAGATAGAGGAAAGAGAGGGGGAGAGAGGGAGCATAGACAGAGAGAGGAACAGACAGGGATGCAAGCAAGAGAGAGAGAGAGAGAGAGGTGACAGAGGGGAAGGAGAGAGAGAGAGAGAGACACACACACACACACACACACACACACAGGGATGGAAGAGAGAGAGAGAGAGAGAGAGAGAGAGAGAGAGAGAGAAATGGGAAGTAGGGGTCTGTAGGGCCTATGGGACAAAGGGAAAAGGTAGCAACTTCTTTCTGTATGTCCCATTGGTCCTTTACATTACTATAAATGTAGGACAGTGCCAATTAACCACAGGAATAAATAGACAAAGGACCAGATTTTCTTTATACACTCAGCAAAAGGAGAAAGTGGAAACTCTTCATTATTATAAACGTAAATATAAACCATAAATAAATATACAATATATTGAATATATATAAAAATCAAAAAATCAATTCTCTCCCCAAATGCTCAAGTTATAAACTTTCACGTTTGGATGGGCACATTCATCTAGCCGTTAGAAGGTCTGATTAAGAAAATTGCACAAAAAGAGTAAGTAGCCATTGAAATGTTAATGGCTTGTTCTTGTTTAAAAATGGAACAAACAATGTGAAACCATAAGGATTGAGTCCAAGATTGTGGACAAGCCATAGGATACCTTCAACACTCATCAACAATTGAATGGCCAGACGCCCTACTATGATGATTTTTGCAATTTTCTTTCAGAGACTCGTTTATTATTAAATGGCTATGCTCACTCATTCATGAATGGTTTGATTCCAATTGCATATCATCTTGAAATGAATTAGTCTGTGTTTAGTTTGATTATAAAAATGAGTTTATATTAAATATTCATTTGAAAATCTTAAGTGAAAACAGTGTCCACTTTCATTTTTTGCTGAGTGTATATAGACAATACTCATTCAACATTAACAAAGAATAGAAAAGGGACACCTCTTGAATGGTTGTAATTATTTACATTTCCATTTTTTAATTTTGTCCTTTGTACATGAGTTTACATGTAATTTACATGATTTTCACTACAATGCAAATTCTGAGTTCACAAACACATATAGGATTATTTTTTTATTAGAAACAAAATCGAGCTAAATATCATATTGAAAGACTTAAACTATAGATTTTCTACAACTATATTTTTTCTATTATGCGCAGAGTACAACCAAGAGCATTTTATAGCCAGAATTGTTCATTATAAGCTTAAAACCACTATGAAACAAAAAGTAATGGAATATAATTGAAACAAAAAGCATTGTGCACACATTAGTAGTAAACAAAATTGTCTTACTGAATTCACATAAAATTTGATCAAGTTGCATCTTGGAAAGAATTCTTTTAATTGAAAAAAAATGTGTCATTCATCACAACACAAAGCCAACCTTAAAACAAGATTTCTTTCTTCTTCTTTTTCATATGCAGAACAACTTAGTTTTATTCCTATAGTTCATTATAAAATTCCTTGAAATCTTTAACAGAACTGCAACTTCTTATTCATGCTACCATGTTTGCAAAAGAACTTGCATCTTGCAAGTGCATCTTGGTTTCAAGATCGAATTTGTGGAAATTTGTTTTAAAACAATCAATAAAACTTTGAAGGGAATTTAATACAATTTAACATCACTTAGGAGACACGGTCACACTAGAATTACAATATAAGAAGCATTTTATAGCTTGTCTCTTATCCAAGACATATCATCAGTCAAGAGGTAAAAAATACACATCTGATATCAGCACTCAAAGATCCTTACGTACTACAAGAGTGAGGGGCCAAGGTGAAGAACGTTGAGTGTACGTCTAGCTTGGCATTACTGTCGCAAACATGAATATGCATGAGCCACCTTCCTGGCGTGGGCGTGTCTCCCAGACTACAGTTGCCTGAATAAATAAATGCCTGTTAATACCCTGAGAAAGCAAGCAATTTCTATTTGCTTTCTGAAAACATAAATTTTACTAAGTAGGTTGTATAAAGGCAGTACAATACTGGTAATAATATATACTTCTATACGATTTATTCCAAATTACCTCACATACATTTAATACAGAAGGCAAGTTTCAAAATGCTTTCACCATCACAAAAACTTTACAAAAAGTTTATAACCATAAACATACTTATAGATCAATGTCTCCTCTCAAGATGATTATACTAAAAACCTAAAAAGTATTGAACAAAAAAAAAATGGATCTTCAAGTTTGAAAAACCCACATAGTTTGAAATAATTTCTAAGAGCCGGGGACCATAGCTTTACATACACCTTTGATAAAAGTTATATAGAATAAAATATATTCAATTCAAGAAATTAAAATTACTGTGTTTGATGCTTATTGGCTCCTAGGAAGTTGTCAAGAAAGTAGTATTCAGCTCCAAACAAAATTAAAATAATACCAAAATGTATTCGGCTCTTGCTGCAGAATGTTAGTGTGCCATCTGTAGTTCACTTAAAAACAGGTTGACTAAGTTGCTGATCTTAATTATAAAATTTCAGCCTGTCTTTGACTAATAAACCTTGAGTACAAGCAATGGTAGAAAATGAAATGTAAACTATAAAAAGTTAATTAAAAATTAATGATACAATATTAATGCATGCTTTATCAATTTGAGAAAAAAAACTATTACATTTTTCTGTTTCTATTGTTCTACATACTAATCATATTCCAATTCTGCCCTAGAATTTAAAAAAGACAAACAAATATCAATGATTTACTGTGCATTTTATGTAAGAAACTTAATGGAAAAAACGTTGTACAATATATCTATAAAAGTACTACATATAACACACATCATTGTTTTGGACAGTATACGGTACAATGAATACATCTGAGAAAATTCCTTCTCATAAACGTGCTAAATCGATCATTTCACTTTCTTCCCATGTTTTAGTTATAATCTAATAATGATATTTTGATGCAATTGTCTCAAGCCTCTTCTCTCATAGTCATTTTCAATTAGATATACAGTCTATTCTGACTTGAGGTGAAGGAAAATAAATCTGTTAAATCAAAACTGCAGGAGGTAATTAAACACTTGACACATTACTTTACCAAGTTTATCACATTGTACAGTTTTGTGGCTCACGAACAAGCCAAGATGTTTCTCTTGCACTGTAGATGCAGTAGAACTGAAAATTCGAGTTGAAAAATCTGATTGATATGTCACAGCTTAACTATACATCACACTGTTTGCAAATTTGTTCTTCATTAGGTATTTCCTATTTCATTGTCCTTTTATTTAACAGGAATTCACACAGTTCCATTCCCAACACTTCAACCTAACTATACATCTCAATTTTAGTACGCATATTTCATTTCCGGTCTCTTGTCACTCTGAAGGATCGATCCATCATTTTAACTGTACGATACAATCTGTACCCGGATAGTCGGGTAGTGAGAGTTCATAACGACTTGCCATCTCGGGTGGTATGAAGCGACCACCTAGAAAATGATATTTTCCTTGGAAGAGCTTAGCGCATTTCTTAGGTGCCGTCAGTGAGATGAGTAGCTCTGGTTTGAGACCATCAGGGTTTCCATTCTCTACATCCCAACCTTGCAAGATAAACATAAAAAATAGAGAGAAATGATGGCTATTGATAACGAGACACCCCAACAAAAATAAGAACAATTTCTTAAAAACAATTTCTAAAGGCTTGCTCACACATGCATACTCACAATCTGTAAGTTATAGGTGTAAAATATGAAGCTTATAATACTTATGTCATCATTATTCAAAAAACTGTGCTGTTCTACATCATTTGTAAACAAACCTGAGATGGTTTTAGCAGTTGTTTTGAAGAGGATTAAGAGATATACAGCCCATCAGAATATAGACGAGATATATAAATATAATAAAGTGCAAATAGAAAGGAACCAATAAGAGTATGAAAGAAAGAATGAATGGAGTCTAACCAACGCTGCTTATGATATGACCAGCTCATCAGTAAAATCAATTTGAAATATATAAAGTGATTGAACAAAATTGAATATTGACTAGAAGTATTAATTGACTAGAAAGGGAATAATGATTACAGGCAATTTTAATATTTGACCAGTTTGGTCCCTACCTATATTTTCTGTAAAGTAGAAAGAAGTAACAACAAAAAACAAAAAAAATAAAAATAAGTGAGAGAAATTTTCACTGAACATCAAAGATTGGAAAGACTATTAAAGTCAATATAACCCTGCACGGAAATTAAAACAGAGAAAGAATTAACAAGCAAAATTCCTTTAAAGGTAAAGATCAGTTATGGTCATGCGATTGCATTGTGAAAGAAACGTTGTGGAATCGATCAGAAAAGGTTGATCATCTAGCATCTAGCATCTGCAAGGTTCTGGAATCATCAAAATGATAAGAAATTTGGCCCATTCTTCGTAAAGTTACAAGCACTATACACAGAAAGATGTATATGGGACTACCCTATATCTCTCACAGACCATGAGAGAAACAAATTTACCAAATATATGAATTAGTAGGCGGTTTCCCGGCAAATTTTTGATAATCATGTATTAGTCAAAACATATTCTTTCACATGATTGGTAATGAGAGCTTCCATTTCATTTTTTGAAATTGGGGCATTTCCAATACTGGTCTTTACCTTTAAAGTTGATGACAGATTTAGGGTAAATTGCAAAAAGAGTAGCCACAAAAGAGATTTTGCATGTTAGGAGCCAGAAAGGCATTAACTTTGCATGGGCTTCTGGATCTCACCAGATGACCTACTGATTGGTTAAAGGACTTTGAACATACCTGAAGGGACATCGATGCTACACAGCGGTATGCTGATGTGTTTCAGGTTCTCCAGGACTTCGCCGAACGGCGCCCTCACCTCTCCCTTGAAGCTGAAGCCGAAGAGGGCATCGACGACAAAGTTATAGGAAGAATTGATGAGGGAGGATGACGGGAGGTAGGAGAGGAAAGGGATGTCCAGGGCGGCACACTGCGTCGTCAGGTTGTTGAAGAGCTTCTTATCAGGGCGTTTGGGGTAGAATATGGTTGGGAAATAACCCTGTAAAGAGACATAAAAGGGAGCATAAAGAGAAACTGTTGAGGAAGAAGCATCTTTATGGTACTGTAACTCACCATAAAATTCCCAATACAGGTTTTTTTTTCTTTCAAGCCACTTTGGATGGTATAACAAGTTCAATGATTAATCATTGTGTTTCACCACTTTCATCTTTTATACAATTAACAACCATATTATTCATACGCCTTGTACATTTGATGCTGTTTAGTGTTTTTGGTTACTCAATTAGGGCATTTGTTGAATACTTTTAGATGTAAGCTTTAATATCTCACATTCTCACATGCCTTCATCCATTCATGTTCGCATTTATGATTCTGACTTATGTACTTGTATAATAGAGAAGTTATTAATTTGTAAAACACTTATGATTTTTTTTTGTCATTTCCTTGTTGACTTGAAGAAGCAATAACAAAAATGTTTAAATATAAAAAAAATATATATAAACCGGGACACATAAATCTTTCACATACTTGAAAAAAATACAACACTTTGTAAGGGTTTGAATAATTTAGTTGTTATCCATATAATGAGCAGTGATAAAAGGGTTAAAACACTTCAAAAGGTTAACAATTACCATCTACAATATCAAAGTCCATAGTCATTGATCCACAATATAACCTAAAAGTCCCTTTATCATCGCTATACGTATCCGATACTGTGAACAAAATATGTTTTAGTTATTGCCCCACGTTGACATGTGTTATGAAAGACAACAGCCGTGCAACCTGTGTGATTGTAGATAAACGAGCCCCATAATTTTCTGCTTATATTCCCCGAGTCATCTTTGCCTCGATCACTAAAACCCAAACCAAACCAGCGCGGACCTGGGATGTCTGAAAGAACCTCCAACATCGACCCTTGCGGGCAAGCCAGATGTGAAGTCTGATGACTTGTGAGAGAGAGAGAGAGAGAGAGAGAGAGAGAGAGAGAGAGAGAGAGCGCGCGAGTTGGGCATTATATTCCACCCTTATAGTCTTGTGGCCTAGACCTTTCAAGGTTTCATTTGCTCAAAGGGTATTTAATTTGGGATCTTGGGATTAGACTATAGAGATCAGTAGAGGCATAATTATTCACAAATGAATGATACACAACAATAAAACTGAAACAACAACCGGATACATTCTCATGAATATCATCAATATAAAACCACAAATTTGAAAAGATCTCAAATCTACATTTCTTATTTTTGTTATCAAAGTCTCAAAAGTTTGAATTGAATGGAACTAGAAAGAGAGAGAGAGGGAGCATGAGAGAGAGAGAGAGAGAGAGAGAGAGAGCTGCTAAAATACCAGACAGTTCTTGATTTGCTTTTATTGCCTACATTGTAGATAGGTGGGACCAATATCCACTTATAACATCAATGTTAAAAAGAGATTGTAATAATACTGAAAAATGTTACTGAGAAATGCAATAACAGTATTTGCAGTATATATACATGCATATCAATATTCTTTAAAATGTCTTTTAAGAGGAACAGTTCACATCATTCTGTATGATATTCACCCAACTGGCTCTCATCAGAAGATAAGATGTACATTATCTGAAAATGTATATCGTAAAACGAGCAATTTGTTCCTATGACCAATGATCTGGTTTTTATAGGAAACTAAAATCTAGGTCAATTAAAAGGACAGGTCTGTATATTCAGACTACGCGTTGGCATGTCTACGCATCCTAATTACAGGCCTCAGACCGCTGCTGCACGGGAGATATTTTGATGAAAAATGGGCCTTAATCACTCTCCAAACAGCCTTAATTTGATAATACCGCTGATATAAAATGAGCTCTATACTGGCTATACTAACACAACCTGAATTCATGTTACTCAAAGGCTTTCATGATGGTGATCATGAGAGTGTATATAGAATACATTTAATCCGATTGTGCTTTGGTTTTTAGGTTCTAAGCAAAGCCAACGATGAGAGATGCATGGATCATCAATGAGGCATGATCACTCTACAAGCACACCCTAATACAGCTTCCCTGAAGTCAAAATAAACACACCCAATTCAACCTAAGCCATGTGAAAACGTGCATCCAGCAGTAAATCTAGGAAATTGGTTATCTTTCCATCACGATGATGGCTGACTGCAGGTATAGCTTTCTAGGTTCAACTGTTCTCATTCTGTTTTGTTTTATTTTGTGAGGTTTTTTCCGTCTAAAAAGCTTTGGAAGTCAGCTCCATGCAGTCACTCAGTCACAGAACATTATTTCTCTTCCTGAGCACATATTTCTAACAAACATAAAGTGCAAATTGTCAAGGCTAGGCAGTAGGCTAAGCAATGCAGATTGTTAATATCTTAAATATTTGTTTCTTCTTTATAATTTCAGTTTATTTCTACTTTATCAAATACATCAAAAATATCAGCAAGACTACCTTTCTTTCAAACATGAACCACCTTGACAGCAACAGGCCTTTAAAAACCTCATCTTTCTACAAAGAATGGAATTGGAAGTTACAGACAGCCCTGAGCGTGTGAGGCTATATCCAAGTCTGAAAAGCAATTTACGCCCGTCCCCTGAATTTGGCAAGCAGACCGACGGCGAGTAGACCAACGGCTAACACTGCTTATTAAAGCGAGCACGTGTGGCAGAATTTAGAATCAGAATCTATAAAAAGAGTGCTCTGTAGGCTTCAAATACAATGAATCAAGTTAGCTTCCAAAATATATACTTTACTTCTCCTCCATTTGTTCCTGTGATGTCTAAGATGGTTGTTTTTCCTTTAGCAAAGTGTATAATTGTAACTATGTTTATTGAAGTACACTGCAATCTGGTTCTACATTAGACTGGAACTAACAAAAATCATCCAGTTATTGTTAATTCTAAGTTATATTTTATCTAGTCACTAATAAATTGTATTTAAGTTTGTATGTTTATTTGCTCAATTTTGTTTAGTTGTTATCTTTTTTGTTCTTGTTATTTCTAGGTTATTGCAACTCATCACTATCAAATTGTATCACAAGCAATAGTTCTTCTGATTATATCCTATATACATGGGGGCTCAGGGCAAAATAGCCCCCGAAATGCCCCAAAGAGCCCCCGAAAATCAGAAAAGAGCCCCCTTAAATTTGCATAGAGTTCAATGCAAAACAAATTTTAGAATGTTATTTTCATGCAGACAAGGTTGAAATGTAGCCCCCGAAAAATAAATATTAATTTTTTCCCTGTATTATTGGAACATCCCAAAGATATTTAGTACCTGTTACATCCAGATTGAAACTCATGAGCACTGTAAAATGTACTAGAACTACATTATTTATTGCATGTCTTAATTAAATTGTAACTAATCATTATTGAAGTGTGTAATAGTTCTTTTAGTTTTCTTTTTGTATATCTAAGGTAGATAGCAACTTATTCTTACAAAGATGTATTATCATGATTCACTTCTTAAAGCCCTGCTGCACTAGTTTGGCCAGGAGGGATTAGACCTCCCTGCATGGTCACTGACAGGTGGTTATCTCATCAAATCAACTCTCAATTAACATAAGAAAAGAGGATCATGGGGGAGCAATGGTCACTGATTAGGCATTGTTTGCTATATAGAGGGTGCAAGTAGTGCAGTAAGGGCTTTAAATTGTAACTCAACAATTTGTAAATCAAACAATGCTGAAAGGTTATGTAGTGATTCAGTTCTTGGTACACCTGTGTTAGACTGTAACTCACCATTATTGAAATGTGTTTGGTTCTTGTTATATCTCATTTGCATTGTAACTCACCCTCCAAAAAGCAAATCACAATCATTCACTTCTTGTTACATTTGAGTTAAATTGTAACTTAGCAATACTGAATAGTGTTTTATAACTATTTGGGTCTTGTTATCTCTAGGTCATTTTGTAACTAAATTTTTTATTTATTACATTTACATAATATTCATATTTTGAGGTTGGCATCCATCTTGTTTTCTTCACATGCGTCTAAACCAACTTGCATACCAAATAATAAGGCAATATTGAATGCATGAAATACATAAATGAAAGGCAACATATTCCTGCGTCACAGAAATGTAAGACTGTATTTGCATAGTACTCTCGATCATTCTAAAAGCTTTCACGGATGTGGAAGCCGAGTAAATGAATCTTGATTGATTAAATTCCCAAAAGATAAAGCTCAAGAATACACCGCAATACCTGAAAGAGATTTCCCAAACTCTTACCTTTCCGATGACCTACTTGTGACCCCACTCTATCCAGGAGCTAGGGGGCATGTACCAAATTAATATTCCGTAAGATAAACTGAAGAGCCCCCATCAGGGATAGAGGTGCATGGCCATTCATATAGGAAACGCCACACTCAAACAAAACAACCTATAGCCTAGCCTAGCCTGTTTCACATCGGGCAAAGCTAGTTTTCCATGCCATCGAAACCGGGCTGACCAGATTAAACTTTAAAAAAAAGCAGAAACACGAAGTTGCAAACCATCCAGAGACTCCTAAAAAATTGCGTTACTTTTTAATTAGATCATTACAAATCTTTATCCTCAGTTTTCTTATTTATAACTGATTTTCCTTATAAAATTAAAAATAATTATGGCGTATATATTCAACATTGAATGAACGCCAATAAAAAATTACCCAACAACAACATATAGCCTAGCTCAAGAAAGGAGATGGTGGAAAGAAACGGAGAAGTGCCGCCTATCTCCACAGAAGAAATCATTGAATATATTCACCCGCAGCTAGCTCAGTGAAATATTTTTGAAACTTTGCCGTAGGTGTGCTAAGGGCTTGGCGAGTAACACTGTCATATTTGATTTCCATCTTAACTGATATCTTACACTCTCTGTATACTTTCTCAATCAAGTCATAATCAAAATTGTTTATTAGTATTGCCCAGAGCATAAGAGCCATCTTCCATGTCATATTGAACAAAGACACAAGATAATTATGGCAACCCATAATGTACCCTTATTTCTACACACAGCAATTGAGATATATTTTACAAAGTTGAGGAAAGTAAAGCTCCCCATAATGTACCAGTACTTTTTCAACACAGTGTTTTATATAATTTACAAGGTGAATTTATCAAAAAACTACACCAACTATTCTTTTTTGTTTGTTCATATTTCAGCTTATTTCTACACACAGCAACTTAAAAAAACAGGGAGATGCTATCCCCAAACAGGTTTTCCTTTAGCTAGGGCTCAACATTAAGTATTCGATCTGGAAGGGTGTCCAGATTTAAATTTTTACAGTCTATATTACGCATGAGCCCTATGTAAAAAATGTTGGGGGGATCCGGACTTTGATTTTGAGCGCCCATGTATCCCAGGCACCTCTTAGAGTCAAGCCCTGCTTTAGCCCAACATGGAGGAAAAAAAATCAAGTAATATTTTGAAAAAATGCCAACAAGAAACGGAAATATGTTGAGTGGGGCCGTATTTTCTGCTTGATCGGTTTGCTTAGGATGATAGAAGCAGGCTGCCGGCCAATATGAATTCTGAAGATCCAGACAAATTGCTTTTTGCATTTGGTAAGACAATAAGCCAAGAGAGTAATGACTGAGTCAATGTAGCATGGCATTCATAAAACCTACCCAAGACGAAGGCAAAGGCAAGCTCAATTTGTCTTTATCATGCATGAAGGGAGACGAGAAATCTATGGCAAAATTGAAGACATTTTTGTCTGTAATATATTAGCTATCTCGTGCTACATGAAAATCTTCTCCTGAAGGTTGGGAAGATGACAACAAAAAAATCAGTTGCCTCTAGTTTTTAATGGCATATGATAATATGGTAAACAATATGAATTTAATCAAACCTCATCCTGATATCTTACTTCAAAATAAATCATAATATTATTAATAAATCATAATATTATACTTGATATGATTGTAGCACCCGTGTTTCATTAATGACATGTAAATATATGAACCAAACCATTTTTTCATAATTTGACAGAAGCTAGCCTGTGATGTAATCCATTCTTATTCCACTCGCCAACGTAACCTATTTCACCTTCCCCTTACACGAACTTTGTTTGCTCACAAAAAAATATCACTTTTACGGGCCCTAAACTTTGGAATGACCTCCCCATTGAATTCACAGAATCAACCTCACTATATTCGTTCAAGCGCAAGCTGAAATGTCATCTCCTAAGCAATTACGCTTTAATGGTAGAAGAAGCTTGATGTTACTTTTAATAATTACTGTCGATGTTCAAACTGAATGTTTCTTTTAGTTTGCTGTTGTTACCCTGTGAATTGCCATTGCGTACGGGTAGTGAAAATGTTATACAAATATTGCTAAGTGTATGAATATTGTTTATTTTTCTTCATAATAAGTTTCAACTTAATTAAATTACGTTTTTTTTTTTTTAATATACACAAGACTATGTCATTGTTGTAACTTTCGGAGCCTATGACCTACAAGCATTGCTTTCTCTTTAGGCTCCATCATATTTCTTCCCTTATTCAACTTAGTCTTATGTATCATTCTTTTTTTTGTTTGTATAAACGCATCCTAAAATGAGTTCAAAATGTAACATGCTATATGTAATGATGTACTATACAACATGTGAGAAATATGAAAATAAACTGAAACTGAAAACTGAAACTGAAATGTATTACTGCATGAGTCTGTGCATTTATGATCTAATTTCAGGGAAATATAACTTGACAAATTCCATATTGATAACGTCAGACAAGTCTGAAATACTGATGTATCATGATGCATTGTTGAATTTGTTATGCAGAAAGAAAGGGTTAATATCATCTTTCTGTCTTACAATGCTTATTCCCAGTGGAATAATAGTCAAATGAAGTTTAACAAATCACATAATCACTAAATATATAGAAGCATCATCAAAAGTATATTTAACCTGTCAAAATTAACTGAGTTTGGATATCAAAATTTGATGCAAGAATAATATACAATACAAAGACTCTCAACTCACAAGAATACTTAATCTGACCCCCCTCCCCCAAACAAAAAATGTCATAGCATTAATTTTGCTTTTCTTTCTCCAACATGCAAAATACTTACAAAGAATTTAAGGTGCCTAGCGCAGACGAGTCCATCCCCACCATTGTTTCCTGGTCCACAGCAGATTAGTACCGTCGGATCTCCGCCCATACTGCTAGCAGGATAGGCCTGGGCTATAGCCGTAGCACAGGCTAGTCCAGCTAGTTCCATTAATTGGTCTACACTGAAGGCATAGTCGTCAAATAACTCCTTGTCTATCTCGATGGCTTCTTTCTGGCTGCATGGTCAAAGAGAAAGAAAAGAGAAAAATGGAAGGGGAAAAATTACAACATATTATTCAGCATTTATATCATGTAGGTGAGCTAGATATTTATTGTGGACCAGCAGCTATATATAATGATGACTGAAATTATAAAGATGCATGTAATACAGTCAAACTTGCCTTTAGCAACCACCTGTATAAAAAGTACACCAGGCTATAAAGACCACATTTTTGTTTCCCTTCAAAATGGTTTCTCATTGAAACCTGTACAAAAGGAACCTGTACACATAAACCACCTGTCTATAAAGACCACTTTTCCTGTTTTCCTTGAGCAGTCTTAATATTCATGCTTCACTGTAAATATAATAGTTCATAATCAATTAGTAATTGGGTTGTATTCACCCAGGTTAGCCACATCAGTATAAATAACGCTTTTCCTGCAGGCCCTTCAATTACTATTACCCTAGCATTGCCAGGTGTCCATTTACACCTGGGTAGAGAGCGACAAATGCAGACAAAATACCTTATCCAAGGATGTGATCACCAAGCAAAGATCGAACCATGAACTTCTTGAAAAAGAGTATCGAGCCTTCACTAGTATACCACAGCTCTGCCACTTAAAAGATGTCTTTTTTGAGCAATTAAATACTAGTAATTTTTGTTGTATTTAACATTGAACAGACTATACCTGATTATTTAATTGTGTTTCATCCATACAACAAATCTGAAGAGCTTTCACCATGTCATTTAAAAAAAAAAAAAACTGATTTATGATTAAATGAATATTCAGTGTAGCTTATAACATATGCATGCAAATAAAGTTATGTGCATTTACTGCGTCTTATACAATATTGACAAAACATAAAAGCTATATACTTTTATCACCATTAGAAGCATTTTATACGCATTGCCATGTCAAATGTATTAAAGTATCAACATTTCAACACTCCTCCAACACATCTAAAACCTAAAATCTAGAAAATTTGATTCTCTAATATTTTGCAAGATATGAAAACTTTGATTATAAGATATTTTGTCTCATTAAGTATTTCAAACTGTAAGTTAATGGTGTGTCTCATCTACAAGGAAAGAGATGATTTTTTTTGGTTAAATGCCCGCAAGTTATGAAGACAAGAAAAAAGAAAAGAATAGGATAGAGTGGGCAGGTGTCTGTAATGATTCACATTTCATGAAAATCAAATTAAATGTCACCATTAAGATGTGGAAGCATAGATTCTGATTTCTGAGAAAATGTTTCTCACTGCATCATGAAATATTCACAATAATAACTCTTTTTTTCTTCTCTCTCTCTCTCTCTCTCTCTCTCTCTTTAAAGGTAAGCCAAAATTTTAAGAAAATTTTTAAAATTGGATGGATAGTAATTCTTTAAAATGTTGATATATTTGGATGCCCTGTAGATGTATTATAAGCACTAGAACATTTAGGCCCTGAAACATTTCTGCTTTCTAGAAATTTGAATAATTTCAACCACGACAACGATCATTGAATATTGTAAAATCGCAAATGCTTCCAATATGTTCATTTGAACTAAATTCATGACCCCATATCAAAACTTTGTATCACCTTTAATTTTTAGCAAAATAATCTGTATTTTTGTAAAAGTTTCCTGATGTTTCATATGGAACTCATCAGATCTCAAGGTTTATTAACTTTTGAAAAAAAATTGGCATTTAATCTATTCCATTAATTAAAAAAAATGTCTTTACAAATGATACTAGTCAATGCTAAAAGGGCATTAAGTAATATCATTCAGCATGGAGTTAAACCTTCAGACTCCCAGCAGATGACACTGTGCCTTATGTATATATATATATACCCATAGCAAAATCTGCAGACAACATATGAAACCCCTTTTAAATATTCAACGCATATATATGATAAGCTGATGTATTCCGCGCTTGGAGAGCCTGAACGCTGGCATGCATATCGGCTGCCTTGGTAGCCATTGGATTGTCTTACAGAAAGCACTATAAGACCACAAACTCTCTCTCTTTGGCAACATTCGAGCTACGATGGACGGCATTATGATCCTCCCTCACTCCAGAGGTTAAGATAACATCTCACCATATACAATACCACAAATGCTTTTGATGTTTTAATGTAAACATTTATTTATTTTGATATATTTTTTCCCATTTTCTATTTTTTTCTTTATACATGATTTTGAAAGCTTTTTTTTATATAATTGTATGTATCATGTAAACTCACATTTTAACCCTTTGGACTTTTTGACGAGATTAAATAAAAACCTAATTTGTTTGATTGATTGGTTCTTCTGACTTTCATTTTTCTCTGGTAAAATTCAAAATTTGCACTTGAACTATATCATATTTTCAAGAAGAAAAAAACAGCTACAGGTAAGCAAATGGGCATTATTATAAATACTACATGATAATTCATTAACAACCCTACCATTGCCACTGCATTTACAGAATTGCATCACGACCAAGATTTACAAGTTTTTAATCACGTAGTTCTTTTTTTGCAATGTTTATCTAGATTTGTCTTAAAGTGCTTTACGTATCATGCCCCGTAATCCATGAACCGTAGTTGATTTCAGGATGCACACACGCTGCCCTTGTGCCTCAATGTAAGGATTAACAATGCCCGGCGGGCAGTATATACCCCCGTGTATTGTCGGTTTCGAAAGCCTAAGATATCTCCTGGCGTGACATCTCGTGACCCTGACTCGGGATTGAAGTAACCCTAGTAAGAGGCATTCAGAATCCATCCCTATAGGCCACAAGGTGCTTGGTTATCATGCTCTGGTAGATGCCAAACTTGAAGGACAAATCAGATGCCTTTGGGGAGACGAGTGAAGACGATCATTTCAATATTTCTAACCTCGTTCTAATTTTATTACTAATATCTTGAAATGAGGATGTACTGATTTATGTTTTATTAATTTTAGACAAAAGGAAATGCTAGTATTTGAGTTGACAATTCCATTTGAAACCAACATACAACAGGCCCACCAAAGAAAAGTTGACAGGTACGCCGGACCGATACATGATATATCAGAAGCCGGCTAGACTCCCAAATTACTGTGTATAGAGATAGGTTCCCGAGGTCTGATAAATACAGATAACAAGAAAAGACTTATAGATATGATGAAAATATGTAAATGCAAAGTAAGGTATCCACAACTGAGAAATGAAATCTTGAAAACCGTACTGTTTGGGTCGTATGTTATTTTTTACAGCCGGTCAGAACACACCTGGCAATCACAACATTACTTGGGAGTGTAATTGGTTTAACTAGTATGACTTGCAATAGCGAGACCTCTCTCTCTCTCTCTATCTTTTTCTTTCTCTCTCTCTTTCTTTCTCTCTCTCTCTCTTTCTCTCTCTCTCTCCCCCTCTCTCTCTATCTATCTCCCCCTCTCTCTATGGTGATAGGTTCTCGTAGAGTATTACGCACACTACTAAGAATAGATTGATAGATATGATGAGGGTACCTAAATGTAAGGTGAGGTATATGTAATTGGGAAGAGTAATATTTGAAACAATATTGTGTGGGTTTATGCTATTTTTACAGCCTATCTGAACTCACTTGGAATCACTACAACACTTGGAGTTGTAATTACTTTAGATTAGGAGACGTATTTAACTTGTTATAAAGGGACCTCCCTCTCTATCTCTCTCTTTCTCTCTCTCTCTCTCTCTCCCCCTCTCCCTCTCTCCAACTGTCTCTCTCTCTCTCTCTCTATGGAGATAGGTTCCCGTGGTTGATTACTCATTAAGAAGAGATTGATAGATATGACCACGGTATGTAAATGTATAGTGAGGTATTCCTAACTAAGAAAATAATAATTTTTTGTTAGGGATTATTAATGTTTTCATAAAAAAATAAATGATGTTATGATTTTCTCTTTTCCGTTTTGCTATTGTGTATTGTAATTGTGTAACCCTGCATGAGATGCATCCAATGATATTCCAATCTCGGTCCTGGGTTTTATGTAACATCTTTATTACTATGTTATATGTCCTTTCTTGAATAAAGATGAATAAACAAAAAATTTCAGGAAGCGCACACACATGATGCCCTTGTGCCTCAATGTAAGGATTAACAATGCCCGGCAGTCAGTCAGTCTATACCCCGTGTTTTGTCGGTTTCGAAAGCCTAAGATATCTCCTGGCGTGACATCTCGTGACCCTGACTCGGGAGGTAACCCTAGTAAGAGGCATACATGCATTGACAATACATCCCTACAGGCCACAAGGTGCTTGAATATCATGCTCTGGTAGATGGCAAGCATGAAGGACAAATCAGATGCCTTTGGGGAGGATGGGTGAAGACTGAAGACGATCATTCCGATGATATTTCTAACCTCGTTCTAATAATTTACCTAATACCTTGAGAAATATGGATGTACTGGAGCATTTCGTCTTGCACTCATTAGGGTGAGCTCTCGAGATTTAACAGGAGGCCAAGACCAAGTGATGTCTTCAAAAGGAAACAAAGCAAAATAAAAACGGGTGAAGACAATCATTCAGAGTTTCTAACCTCGTTCTAATTTACCAAATACCTTGAGAAATATAGATGTACTGGAGCATTTCTTCTTGCACTCATTAGAGTAAGATTTCAAGAATGATTAACAGGAGGTCAAGACCAAGTGAAAACAAAGCAAAATGAAAAGCATCACCTAGTCTGTATTTAAAGCATTTTCCTGATTTAAGAGTAGGCCTACACGTATATACATACACTAATCATCTCTTTACTTATATATCTTATTTATTTGTATATCTACAAAAATAAAAGCATTTTCAAACAATACAGATCTGAAGTAATCCTTTTCAGACTCCACAGTTTTTGGGCAGGTTGCTATTCCCTTTAACAGGATACAAATGTGTGAAATATTCCACACATGGTACAAAAAACAATGAGCGCATTACAAGGTTTAACGGGGCAATGCGTATCGATTGCAGAAGCCGGCTGCATACAATTTAATTCAAGCACTTCTTCTGAATAATTCTTCTTTTGATTGTCGC